CCATTCATTTGCATCATCTATCTCAGTCAAAGAAATAGGATCAATGACATCACGATGATTGAATCTCTGAATCAGTGCTATATTATATTTCACATAAACTAAATCCTTTAAGCGACCATGATCCAATTTGCTTCTTTGTTTGCTATGAAGCTGCAATTAAAATATTATTACATTACTATATTATGAACATATATAAAAATCAACACATATATTATAAAATACTTACATGTTCAAAAATACTCCAATTGTGTTCGCATCCAGATGAATTACATGTTAGACTTAGGACTTTGATAACAAAGCTTTGTAAATTGGGAGCTCCTTGTTCATATGCCAACCACCAATCAGCTGGAAGAAATGAATTTTTTTTTTCAATATAATATAACAAATCAGTCTTAATTTTTTTGTAAATAATGATATATGGAGATCGGGTAGTTCTTTGTCTTACAGCTAGAGGAATACAAAAAAGTCCTTAACCCCTAATGTATAAACTTAATTCATTACTGATTTTATCTTCTTCAGCTACATCTTGAGATAATCTTCCAATACATTGGTAAATACCATCAGCTATTTCCTTATTTTTGGCAATATCAAGGTTATTGAAGAAATATGTAGGATTTAAAAAATGTCCCGCTGCATGTAGAGGCCGATGTAATTGCACTTCCCATCTTCTATCAATCATTTTAAAAATTTGGTCATACTTATCACTGTTATTGAAGCTTGCAGCAATTGACTATTTTGCTCTATCAATTGCTTCATATATGTAAGTTATTAGGGGCTTCTTCTCTCCATCAATCAATTTAATAACTTTTAATAAAGGATCAGCTATTTTTAAGGCATACACTATAGTGTTCCAAAATGATTGCTGTAAGATTGTATGTTGAGATTGTTTTGCTTTAGCCTCTTTCGCATAAGGACCCAAGATAAATTTCTCACAAGTAAACATTTTTTTCAAGTTCAGTTGTTGTTGATGAAAACGTTGTAAAGTTAAGAAAGCTGTTGTAAATTGAGTTTTTGCGGGTTTGATCAGTGCTCTTTGATTTGTGCACCTCCTCATTAACTCAAGTAAGCGAGGCCTAGAATATATAAAACTGTGTACTGCCACTGCTTTCTCAAAGCATCGCCTTAGCTTTTGAATTTTGAATATGTCCTTCATTTACATAGCGGTACCGAGCGGTATCATGCATGTACTTAGCAATACGAGCGTGTACCTAGTTGTACCGAGCTGTACCGAGCGGTACAGAGCATGTAACTAGCGGTACCGAGCATGTACCGAGCGGCACCGAGCATTTACATAGCGGTACCGAGCGGTATCATGCATGTACTTAGCGATACCAAGCGTGTACCTAGCAGTACCGAGCGTGTATCTAGTTGTACCGAGCTGTACCGAGCGGTACAGAGCATGTAACTAGCGGTACCGAGCGGTATCCAGCATATACATAGCGGTACCGAACATTTACTTAGCGGTACTGAGCATGTACCTAACGGTACCGAGCATACCTGTTAAGTTGTAAATTCTTGTAAGAAATAGCCGTGCAAAACAAGAGCTGTGCGTAACAGACGGAGGTTGCAAATCGGAGTCAGCTGGTAAGATTTTTTATTGGAACAGACGAAGAGGGGGCGGATTTGGCAGAAGCACTGCTTTACGGGACGATTCGGCGGAAACAACAACATTAACTTCGGGACATATTCGGCTGGATTCGGCGGAAGCAGCGAATGCAACAAACAGAAAACAAAAAACCTTCGACTTCAGGATAGATTCAACGACCTTGACTTAGGGACTGCAGAATGTGTTCGGCGGATGCAACAAACAGAAAATCTTTCGTGAAATTAGGGCAATGAATAGTAGTTTATCTTAAAATATAGATATATTTTTAAATATAAAAAATATTCATAAGTATACCGAAATTTAAAAACAATTTGGCGCATTTTGATACTTTATACTAACTGATAACAAAAAAAAACAAGAAAATCAAATATCTCCTAAATTTGCATCATCAAAGCTATCCCCATAAGTTGAGTTTCGAAGTCTCGCTTCGCAGACGCAAATGCGTCTAAATTATTGAAGCCGATTATGTCATCTCTATCTCCTTCATTCTCTAATTTACCTTCATCAACAAATAAGAAATATAAAATATGATTTTATTTTTTGTTTTATTTAAATGATATATTCATATTTCACTATCAACTTACTATGTCTAGGCCGAGTGGATGGTATGTTTTGTTTTTCATCAACTAACATTACATCCTCTTTATATATCTCATTTTCCAAGTCATATGAGTCAAGTTATGACAGCATTTCATCAAGTACTCAGAAAGTTATCATTTCAACACAGGTGTAGTCCAGAGGATCATAACTTTTTTTTTTTTAAGTTGAAACTAAAAAAATGAATGAATAACTTTAGTATGACATTTATACATACACGTAGTATGACATATTTACATATATATTAATATGCTAAAGATTATACATATTCTTTAATTTGTGACTATATCGAATATATACTAGATCGTTGAGCCGTTGATGCTCCAAATGATTGTGACTTTTTGAGTGAATTTGTTAAAAAACACTCCAATTTTTTTCGCAACCTGATGAAGACGATGTTTGGCTTAGAATTCTTATAGTTATTTTTTACAAGTTTAGAGTACTTGATCCAAACAACTTCCCCCACTCATCTGCATAATGTCAAGTTAGAGAGCTTAGTGAATGTGCATATTTAAAAGAAGTACAAAGTGACATTAAAAAGAGAATTATCAGGTTACATTTCCTTTGCATTGTTAAAGCAATTGATTTTTCAAAACTTTCTTAGCCATCATGGAATAATCTCACTTCATTCATTGCAAGTGTGAGTTTAGAGCAAATGTCCTTATTTTTAAGTAATTCAACAAGACATTGCATAACTTTTTGGTTTGCAATAGTAGTTCTTGTCATACTGAAAATGAGGATTCAGAAAGTATGCTGTTGCTTGGATGCCCTGCAATAATCGAGTATTCCAACTTTTTATTATAGCATTGAATAAAAAGGCAGATGAGGCGGATGCAGTAAGGTGCGCCTCAAGTCAAGGTGTAAGCTATGTACGTCGAGGCTTAATCCTCGAAGGGTCAGACAGAGTGTGCGAGTTTTTCCCATAGGGTGTACGCTTCTAAAATAATTGAGGCTACCTCTTTTTCTTTAGAGGTTTTGGATATCTTTGAATGTGTAAAACTTACTAGTGATTCATGCTTGTAGGTCATGCTTTTAGGCACTCTTCAAAGTTATGAAGGTTATTGCAAAACATGTAGCTCCTAGACTTACAATCTCTTTCCAAGTTGACCTTATCTTAAGTCATGTAAGTATATTGATATATTCTAAGAAAAAAATGTTGTACTTGCTTTTCTTGCCAGGTCCTCTATGAGAGGCATGATGCTCATATCTTTCAAATTTAAATTCATATAGTGTGCAACACAAGGTGACCAATAGATGTTCTTGAATATTTCATGTAATATATCATCTATTTTCTTGTAATTAGTAGCATTATCAGTAACTAGTTGAACAACATTCTCTTGACCTATCCACTTAACAACTTCAGTAAATAAAGAACACAAGTTTGCATTATCCTTAGTGATGTATGAAGCATCAACTGATTTCAAAAAGATATACCACATGAATAATATATTAAAATTTTTATTAATATTATGCTCTTACTATTAGTTCATTTATTTGCCATGAGAGTACAACCAGTTTCTTTCCAAGTATGTCTGTAGTTATCAAAGAGTAACCTACACTCATCTTTACAATCTTTAAGTAGATTAACTCTTATGCTGTAATAAGAGCGGAGCTTTTAACTAGGACCTATAACAACTATGAGATCCACAACTTTCTGTGCATATACTAAATTTAAGGCATGAAATGGGATGCAATAATAAAAAACCATCTTGCTAAAGCTCTATCTATAGAGTGAACTGCTTCCTTAGATGCTAAGACATTTTTAATTAATGGTTGGGAACTTGATTTAGTTCTAGCAGCAAAGAAAGTGTTCGCATAAGCAATCTTTCTTTTTTCCTTTAACAAGTTCTGATACAAGTGCTTCAAAAGATTGTGATTTAGGTTGGGACTGTTTCTCCCCAGTATCTGTTTGGTATGATTTTGGAAAAAAGAGCTCTGACGACTTATAGAAGGTGATGACTTTTACTTTCTATCAACCCCATTTTCTTAGGAGGAAGGAAATATGGATTGGTGAATGATACCTTTTTGTTGAACAAAAAAGATAATTTCTGGTTAAAATGTTCATGAGTATGATCTATGCAAAACATCTTGATATGAGTTTTAAATTTATTTTTTATCCTAACAATAAAGATAGGAAGAATAATGTTGACATCCAATTCTTGTTTGATAAAATAAACCTATGTCATCTAAGTATGAGTATCAATAAACGTGATATATCATGTAGCGCAAGAAACATTAGGGGTTCTTGAGGGTGGCCCCCCAAATATCAAAATGAATTAACATAAAAGATCTAAAATCAATTTTAAATAAGAGACAGAATGAAATTTTGCAATTTCACAGTCGTAAAATGAAAGTCTTCAATGTTAATATTTATAAAAAGAGAAGGAAATATATATTGTCTGATTTTAAAAGATGAAATACCCTATGTAATGATATTTGTAAGTGGTTTCCATATTGAGAGTGAGAGTACAGATGAAGGAACATGACAAGGGTTTTTATTTTAAACAAGGTGTTTCTTATTCTCTTCTCTAACGTGTCCCATTGTTTCTCTATAGCGTGGTTCTTAAATACATAATGGTTAGTGAAAATATTACCGTGCAATTGTGTTCTTTAGTGCTTTATTATATTGATAAAGATTTATTGTAAGATGAGGAACATGTGTTATATTTTAAGTCTAAAATTAAAAATAATTATCATCTTTTTTTGTACCTTTCTATCCATTATTCGTTTATGTAGCACATTTTCCTTTGTATGTGCCTTTCCTCTTGATATTATTTTTAATGACAACTATATGCAGAAGCAAGCGGTGAATAACAAGCAAAAACCAAAGACCTTGGATGCTCTCTTTGCAGGCATGAAGGAGCAGAGGATAAGAACCATGTCCCAGCAGCTGGGGCGTGGCCGCGGACAAGCTGGACAGAGGCGTGGTCGCCAGAACCAGCAGCAGAGAGGATGGATTGGGGCAGCAAGTGGTGGTTCTGCTGCTCGATATGGGGCACAGTTTGGCAATTTTGGAAGATGAAATGGCTGAATCCTGTTGGACTAGCTTTGTGGGGATGAACTTCAAGCTGGAACTACACTGTTCGGTGCCGGTTCGTTTCAACTTTTCTGTGTTTTCAGTGTATGTGAGTTGCTGATATATGGTTTGGTATTCCTTATTTTGGATGGACACAACCTTCTTTTTAAAAAATATATTTGTAGAAGTCTGAGTTGCAATGAAGCTCCAGTTTCTTTTCACTAGAGTTGTTTATGCTTTGCAATAACATTTGGTTTTTCTTTTGTTTTGATTTCCCCTTAAATGGTTTTCACTTTTCACACTACCATAGAGATGAAAATAAGCGTATGCTTGAATTATTTATATATATTGTGTCAAATCGAACTCAAACCAATGAAAGTCGATGTTGAATGAATTCAAATCAAGATCAGATTTGTGCAGGCTTGAATTTGCATATTATATTCATAGAATTTTTTTTTTGAAACTGTAGAATTTTCATTTGGCTTGTTAATGGGAACAATCTCGACATTGGACAGAAGATATGTGTAAAGTTTTTATGCTTTCCATTAATTGCACTTTCATTCAGGATTTCAGGTTAAGACTATTATTCTTATGTCATGTCTAGTCATCTCACATTCAAGTTTAATCTGCATTAGTTCTTCAATATTTATTGGCTGTTTCATGATGATATTTCTCCAGTATTTTGATTGCAATGGTTTTCAATGATGTTGCCTTCTTTAATGGCACTTGAAAGTGGATATAATCTAGCATTAGTGACAACATTTTGATATGTCTTCTTGATGCCTGACACAACATTCATGTCTAACTCTTGACATCCTTATATGAATTATTTTAAGCACATATCATAGTTCAATGACTTATTATTTCTCGATTATTCTTAATATTCTACTTATTAAATTTCTATACACTATTAGTACCGTGTCCAACCCTTCTCCATGTTTTCTATTTTCAATAATCAACGTGTCTCGTGTCCGTGTCGTATCTATGTCTATGCATCATAGCTACAGATCACTCCTCTGAGCCCTATCAAGGTGCCACCGCCTCCTAAAGGTAAGGAAAGTGAGGAAAAAAATCTCAATCTTATAAAATTAATTAGTTGCCTCTTCTCTCTCTATTGAAATGTTAGAAATTTGAATGGGGACTATGCCCCTGATTGTAAGAAGCATAAAAAAAGCCGTCCCAAACGAAGCCTTTGTTGCATTGGGCATGTTAAAGAAAAAGTTGGAGGCATGATTGTTCCACATAATATGCTTATGAATTCCAATATTTGCATCTCTATTGCCTTCTTGATTGAGCTTCCCAAGTCCCAATGAAGGTTTATTTATTAGTTGCTTCAATCATTAATTAAATAACCCCATTCGATGCCTTCTTGATAGGGCTCGCTGCAATATGTCCTGGCTTGATTGCTTTTCTCCTACCTTACTATGATAAAATCTGTACCCCTTATTTTATTCAGACGTCGAACGTCATTCGGAGACCAACCAGAATGCGCCATGTCATCTTTTGCTTGGTACTGCTCGGTACCGCGCCGTGGTACCGCTAATGTGGCACATTCTGGTTGGTCTTCGGACGGCGTTATGTGTCCACCATCCGGTCTCCACACAGAATAATTTCTCTTGCAATAGGCACACTTTGAAGCAAGAATTTTAAGGGGGATACTATTTTTGCTTTATGCAATAAGCTCACTAACATAAAAAAAGGTTTTTGAAAGCTCTAATTGCTATATAGACTCAAAGCCATCACTGAAAACTTTCTAATCTTCAACAAAAAGTATACACTGGAGCATCTGGAAGCTCACCACTTAGATAAAGACCTCCCAAGAACATTGCAAATTAAAGAAATCTTATTCTTGGTTGCTCCATGGATATTAGATGGCGTAAGCACCATTGTAAATGCAATTGGCTTACAAAAGGAGAAGTTGGACCAAAATTTTTATATCAAAGGGTGGAAGAATTACATTTCTATCTGTGAAATTAGTTCTACTTGGGGCATTCTTACTTTGCATGATATTAGCCTGAAAGTCATCAATCATTTTATTGAGATTCTTAATGTCACTGCCCCTTTTAGGGGAAATATCTCTAATATTGAGTGGCTACATATCCATGTCTGATCAGATTGATTTCATTTTCACTCTTGGTCAAGATGAAATCAAGGAAAGCCCTTTTAAGTATTGGGAAGGACAAATGCCATGGGCCTGATGGATTTATGCCTAAGTTCCTTGAGGATGTTTGGGACATTGTTAAGGGAAATTGTGTTGAGGCAATTCAATATATATATATTTTTATCACAGTTAAGCTCACTAATATTGTGTTGCCATATCCCAAGCCCTAGATGAGAAAAGTGGAGGGTTATGTTAGGTAGTCGAAAATCATCGTAAAATTTGTCGAATAATCATAATTTGAATCTTTTAATATATTATGTTAATTTGAGGGTATTTTCTTGAAGCGACGAGCTGTATGACCTGAATACATCGAGAAGTATGCCAATGCTGCTTGCTGCTGCATCAACGCCCGAGTGCAGTGTTAAATGAGCAAGGGTTCCTATATCATAAATGAATGCGGGAAAAAGAGCCAGTCCATGAAATTAAAATTAAAATAAGAATTTAAAATATATGTTCTCTTACAAACAAATTAAAGGAATCAATAGATATTATGACTCATAGAAAGATAAATATTCTATGCATTCAGGAATTTAAATTGGTTGCAGAGAAGACTATTGAGATTGATAGTTTATGATTTAAACTATGATATTTAGGCAAGAGTCATATTAGAAATGGTGTTGGTGTGATTATATATAAGAGTTTAAAGGATATGCTGTAGAAATTAATAGAATTAGAGATAGAATTATAGTTTTAAAAATTGTTGTTGATTTTAAAATTATTAATGTTATAAATATTTGTGCTCCTCAAATAGGTTTAGATATATGTTTAAAATTAAAATTCTAAAATAAATTAGAAAAATTAATACAAATGATACTTTTTGAAGAATAAGTTTTTATTGGAGGAGGTTTAGATGGACATGTTGGTAGAGTGATAAAATATTTTAAAAACATTCATTGGTGACTATGAATTTGAAGTGACTAATAAAGGTGGTAGGGCCATATTAGATTTTGCTTTAGCTTATGATTTTGCAATTATTAATATTTTATTTAAAAAACGAGGGGGCATTTCATCACTTATAAGAATGCTTAAGAATGATTTTGTAATTATTGGACCTGACAATATGCCAATAGAGGTGTGAAAATACTTAGGAGATGATGACATTTCTTGCCTTACTAAACTTTTTAATATTGTTTTGAAAACTAAAAAGATGTCAGATGAGTATAGAATGAGTGTGTTGGTTTTTATTTTTAAGAATAAAGGTGATGCAAAAGAGTGAGCGAATTATAGAGGAATTAAGTTAATGTGTCATACATTAAAACTATGGAATAGAGTTATTGAGTGATATTAATGTTTGTCAAAATGATGGAGACATAGATGGAGATATTATTAGTAGAATTCTAGTTGGATTGTTGAAGTGGAGGAATGCATCGGGTATGTTGTGTGATAGAAAAATTTCCCTCAAACTTACGTGAAAATTCTATAAGATGATGGTGAGACCTGCAATGCTTTATGATGTAGAATGTTGGTTATTAAATTATAAACATAATATTAAGTTAAGTGTTATAGAGATGAGGATGCTCAGGTGGATGAATGGATTTACGCTGAGAGACAACATGCAAAACAAGTATATATGTGAAAAGGTTGGAGTATCTCCAATGCCAAATAAGATCAAAGAGAGTCGCCTCAGGTGTTTTGGCCATATAAAACGTCGGCCTTTTGATGACTCGGATAGGAGAGTAGATGTACTAGATTTGGCCATATGTAAGGTAGAGGTAAACCTAAAAAAAACTTAGTTATAAACCGTTAGAAATAATCTTTTTATATTAGATTTAAATGAAAGTTTGACTCTTAACATGACACAATGGAGAAAAGGATTTACGTAGCTGACCTCAGTAGTGGGATAAATGCTTGATGTTGTTGTTGTTGTACAGTTAAGCTTCCTGATTGTGTTAAACACTTTGCTATCACTCTCATCTCCAAGAAAATTGCATGCAATGAGCTATCACTTTTCAGGACAACCTCAAATCATTAATTTGGAGTTGTTTAAGCTATCAATCTCAAAGACTTATTATAAGAAAGATTTATTCAATGATTTCTATGTTCTTTCAGGTTAATAGAGATTCATCCTTCTCTTTAGATACATCATGACATAAGCACTAAACACAAGCAATCTTGCTAGCTTGGAGAAGAAGTTTTTTTGACGGTTAAAGCTTATTCTACCTTATATGATTACATTTTTTTTTATGTTAGCTGGCACCGGTTGATTTGGTTTAAGGGTTATAGTATAAGCATTTTGCTGGAAAAACTATGCATCAATGGCTGAATTCTGAGGATAAGTTGATCAATAGAGGCTTCACTAGTTCACTGTTTATACTAGCTGCAATCTGTGCTTCATTCATGAGGAGAGTCACACTTATTTCTGTTGAATGCCTAATTTTTATGGTTATTCCGAAATAATTTCTCCCCTATGAGCAAAATAACCAATAATTAAAGTTGATATTTCTTCTAATGTTTATTTTGCTCATAGGGTAGAAATTATTTCGTGCGGAGTCTAGACGGGAAGAACCTTCTGGACTATGAGTGTATATATTGTGTACAAAAAGTTGATGCACTGTATAAATTTATACACAGTGTGTACACTCATATATCTGGACGGTTTTTTTCCGTTCGGATTCAGCTCGGAATAATTTCTCCTCATAGGGAGATTAATGCCTTCTAATAGTTTTTTAATGGGTTCTTTATTCATGCTAGATTTGTTATCTGATTCTTGTCAGTGTGAGTGATTAATGTTCAATTAACTTCTTAATTTGTTTTATAATTCTACTCTTTACTCATTCTTTGTACATTTTTTAATGCACATCACATATTGATTTCACCAAAAATATGAATTTTTTTTTCAATTTTGCCTATAAATAATGAGATTTTACTAAGGAAAATAAATATGGGATGTGCATAAGAAACAAAATAATACAAACAATGAGATCTATTATGTGGCCTTAGGGTTACTGAAACATTGACCCATAAGAGAAGCTTACCATCCTTTGGCATCACAAATTTACAGCTGACTGACACAAGATTTGTTATAGATATTGAGATTGAATTACCTTTAAATAAAATAATGGATTCAACATTCATGATGAAATTACTTGTAGCATAATATGTTGGATTGATTTTCATTATAATATTTTTTTTTAAAAAAATTATTTTTTTATAGTTTTTTTTGTACTATTTGTGATGCCCAGGTGGATGAGTGGCTTTACCTTTATAGATAGGATACGAAATGAGCATTTACGTGAAAAGATTGGAGTAGCTTCAGTAGAAGATAAGATTAGAGAGAGTCGCCTTAGATGGTTTGGTCATATTAAATGGCGGTCTTCCGATGACCTGGTTAGGAAACTAGATGTGTTAGATTTGACTTATGTTAAAAAAGGTGGAGGAATACCTAAAAAGTCTTAGAAAATATTAAAAATGATCTTTTTTTTTAATTAGATTTAAATGAGAATTTGAATTTTAATAGAACACAATGGAGAAAAAGGATTCTTGTAGCTGATCACACGTAGTGGGACAAAGGCTTGATGTTGTTATTGTTGTTGTTGTGATGCCCACTAACTTGAGAATGGGCCTTACTCCTTTGATCATAAAGTAAAGTTCATTCCAAACACATACATCTCTATAAAATATGGGCTCTTGAACTCACTTATGGTTCGAAGATTTGAAGATTGAATTGATTTGTGGCTCAAAAGGAGTCAAACAAGCCGTTACAAGCTAAATTTTTTGTTAAGCTCTGATATTTCATCTGATTTAGCTAAATTTGGCTCAGATTCAATTGGCTTAAAATTGCTAGAAGAACATGAATAAAGAGTTTTTTTTTTCAGTACATAAACTTTATAAATACAAGCATATTACTATAAAGATGTAAAAAAAAAAAAAAATCAAAATCAAGTTGATATGAGCTAAGCTGGTTCGAAATCGAATCAATTCGGAATTGATTCGACTTGTATTGATTAAAATCGGATCATTCTCACCCTTCTGACCACTTAAAATCGGATCGTTCTCACCCGATCTCACCCGACCACTACCAATCACTTGCTTTATAATCAAAAGCAATATATAAAATTATTTAAAATTGTATTACATCAAATAAAAACATGTAAAAACAACTCCATGCATTAATAGTTGCCTTCCCCAACATGAGAAAAGAAAATCTACAAAAAAACTAGGCACTTCTTACCCTCTAGAAGAGAACCCTCCAGAGATATGGAATCAGTTCCTCCCTCTATTACAGTTTGAATCAGCAAGAGAATATTATTATTATATGATCCATCTCAACATGAAATCATTAGGACATAGCTGAATTTAAACTTTAGTCCCCAACCAAATACTAACACAAGAAGATCATCAAATAGAAGACAATGGTGGTGAAAAGCCAAGAACTTGCTTTCCTATCTTTCATTGATCCTCTATTTTCAGATAAAATTTTTTAAGTGCTTTAGCTGAGGCAAAAACAAATTATATGACCTTTTTAACTCTTATGTTAACATATGCATATTAGCTCAGATAAAGTTAGATAGACTGTGGAATTCTGAAGAGATGTTCCTCACCACTTACCTCATCAACTTTCGTCACCCATGCACTCTTGCTCCTCGACCGCCTCCTCGAAGCTCCTCTTACCTTCCTCTCCTGCCGTAAACCCTTCGAATCCTTCATGACGAATTCGGCACTCTTCCCTATCATTGTCACTTCCATTCCCTTCCCTATAGGATGCTTTGCAGACCTTACAGCACTTTTGTCCTGTAAAGACCTCCATTCCCCTCCCAAGCCTGATTTTTCACCTAGCAAGTTATTGGCAACCACAACAGACTTGGCAGGATTCATATCAAGCAGTTTGAGCAAGCCTGTGTAGGATTCAGACTTGCAGTCCACTACAGAGAAGTCGACATTCTCGCACTCGGGCAATAGCTTATAGGGATCTCCTACTTTGAACTCGACGATGTCGGTGAGGCCGGAATCCTCGATGACCTGTTTTGATTCAACCAGAGACTCTGACTGTGGGAGAATGCAAACAAGCCGGCCGCCGGTTTGCCGAGCAGCTACAGCAAGTGCAACTGTTGATTGAGATGCTTGTGGAGATACTTCAACAATGTGTTGAGCACTCATGCCCGCAGCCAAAGCTGATAGGAACTGAGTGCTTTCTGGTTCAATTGGGCTGTTAGACTCCTTCACATCTTTACACTGGAAAGCAGAAGAAAAAAGAGGAAACAAGATTAGAACTGGGATATTGGGATTAACTATTATGTGCGGATGCCGAATGTTGTCTAGAGACCAACCAAAATGTGCCACGTCACCCAAGAACTCAATACCGCAGCTCATGTGGCGTGTTCTGATTGGTTTCTGGACCACATTCTACGTCCGTTTTCCGCACAAAATAATTTCTCGAATATTGGACACTAATAATATGATTCTCATAAGTATTTTGATGAATCAAAAAGATGTCTTAGGATACTGTACAACACAGCAAACCAAAAGGTTTCAATTTTCAATAAATCAAATGGCTATGAAACCAATATTAAACCATCAAAATTTTATCATTACACTGTCATTTAGGTATTAAATTTTATTTTGTCACCTCAAAAAGATAAAAAGAACTGTTCTTTTCACAACACCAACTACTTCTAACTTGTGAGATTTCCTTTATTCTTTACATTTCAGTTGCTATTTCCCTTAAGGAACTTGCTAATTTTTTCCCAAATAAATCATCTGATAGGAAATACTTGATTAATAGAAATATAAGCAATCAGCTATCATCCACATAAGCTGCATATGAATGCCAAACCAGTAATTAATCTTATGCTAATCACCATAAAACATACATATTATGCATGTCTTGTTGGTGCCGAACCAAAAGCAAAAGAAATTATTCTGTGCGGATACCGGACGTCCGGAGGTGAATCAGAATGCGTCGCATCACCCGGTACATAGCCGTGGTACACAAGAAAAAAGTGAAGTTGCACGTTCTGATTCGCCTCCGGGACGGCGTCCGTATCTGCACAGAATAATTTCACCAAAAGCCATTTGATAATCACACGGGGGAACAACCTTGCCATGGCTTTCTACCTCCTCTTACAAATGAATAAAATAAGAAAATGAAGGTTGTGAAGATTGATTAACAGAGGAAAGCAATGAAAAAGAGGAGGAAACAAGCAAAATTTATAAGGGGAAACAGGGTGGCCGTGAGGAGCATGCAGATGACTTCTTTAACAAATGTCAATTTTCTATAAAACCATTTTAGTCGCGATTGACAAACTTCCTAAGAGTTCATTTGGTTTCTTGTAGATAAAAAACAAGCTTCCAAAATTAACAATTGGATTTTTATTCCTATATGCGTCAAGATGAAACAATCCCTCAAAGAGGCTTTAAAAGGGTTTGTGGATCTTAAAACTAATATTGATTTCTAAGCACACCCAGCTAAATGATGAAAATAGCAAATTTGAAGTGTGAACAGATTCATTGAGCGGACTTTTTCTCTCGAGTCAATGGATTTCGTAAATCTAACAAACAACAGGATTTCAAAAATCCGGAATTTAGCAGAAAATGGCAGAATTTTCCGTCTATGACGGCCGTGAGATTTGGTTTTGCATTTTAGGCCATTTGGCTGGATTTCGCTTAAATCCGCCTCAAATCCAGTCTAAATCTTGCTACCAAACTGCTTCTAAGAAAGTCGTTTCAAATAAAGCCTTAAACTAATTGAAAAATGATAAAAAAAGCCTTTACATAAAAAAAAAAAAAAATTAAGCATTCTGCGTTGTCAATTACTTCTGAGAAAGGTCTAAACTCCAGAATTCCACCATCAATGGAAAACAAATAAACGATCTTCCAATGAATCAAATTACATCATGAAATAGCAGATCAACCAAATATATCATCCCTTCCTTACAAGGAAAATCAGCCTCGGCAATAAATGTCTGCATAAAATAAAAAACAAACAGAGAATTCGAAAGGGAAGATAACCCTACCAGCTTAACCGTGTCAAGGTAGGCATTGGCGGCAAATTGAGGAGACCAAACCATGATAGCGAGCCAGATCAAAACAATCACACTCTCTTCTCAATATCTTCCTTCATAAAGCACTTTAAAGGGAGAGAAAAGAAGGAAGGAGAAGGTTGTAGAGACAATGGGAAGAGGCGAAAAGGGAGAAAAAGGGGTTTTAGTTGGATTTTTCTTTGTTTCTCGCTAATAACTCAGCGAAGGCGAGGGATGCAACGAACAATTAATACCTAACGGAAAATTCAAGACATGGCGGCGAAAAGAACAGCTTCGACCCCAAAGTATCTCCGGCCAGCGGCGGCCCGCGGGTCTCGGTAGAGAGCATGAAAGGGAAAACGTTTTGGCTGTTTTGCCTTTGCGGTGCGGATTCCCTTCACATCGTTTTAGTTAACGGTACTTTTACGAATGCCGTTATACAATAATAAATAAATTCATAAAACAAATCTTATATATATAAAAGTTAATATTAAATATTATTATAGGTGAATTTAAGGGAGTTCAAATAAAACTTTTGGCTTTAATTTTGTGATGAAAGCTTAAGACTCGAAGAAAAAAGGTTTTAAGAGTAGTATAGGAAGATAAATTTTGAGTTTATGAAAATTTAAATTGTTCAAATCAAATAGAGGATTTGTATTAACAAATTCTGCCTCTCCCAACGCTCTGACTTAAGCCCTATACTACTCAGTTTGGTTTAGGATTTAGGATTTAGGGCGGATCTATCCTAAACCCTAAATCATAAACACTAAATCCTAAACACTCAGGACGGATTTACCTAAACCCTAAACTTTACCACCTGGGCCTTCAGGTAGATCCGCCCCTGAGTGTCCGTGCATAATAATTTATCAAATAGTTGACCTATTAAATGCTATTTCATCACATTCATGATGAGAAGACCTCTCCTTTGAAGATTTAAATTTTATTGGAGGATGGCTAAAAGGTCTTTTATTGCATAGATGAGAAGGTGAAAGCCATTAGATAGGAAATACGTACGTTTGATAAAAAATTTAAAATGGAGTACTCTTCTCAAGACAAATCTACCCAAGGTTAAAGAAGAATTGAACATGGTTTCTTTCAGAGAGATGATGCGGAAGAAAAATACTTATGATTCTCATTTCAATCAAAGTTGCTTATGAGTTATGAACACTCTTTTCAACTAATTAATTCAAAATTAATCAAATCTAAATTCAATTAACTTGAACCTGATCTGTTTAATAGACGGGTCAAAACAACAACGTAAATCTAACTCGGTAGCAACCTCGAGAACTCAAATTTACCCGTTAATCAGTTTTACTTTGATATGTCATCAAAAAATTATCTTGATCGGGCTTGAATCTTGAGGCAAAAATCAAGTTGGAAACTTCAAAAATTAAATCTAGGATCATATGAACTCCGATTTCAGTAAACTTACAATCGAATTGAACGTCTCGGAAATACGAACCCAACGATACCAAATTCAACTCAATCAGAGTCCAAATGAGTCCAAATCAAAGACCCGAAGCGTTGTTGGAAGGTTCAAACCATAATTTGAATTACCAAACGGTTTCCAAATATGACATGCTTATAATCGAATCGAGCAGCTCGACGAGACGAATCCAACGAGCACAAGATCGACGAATTCCGATATTACTAAGACCTTCAAATGTCTTACGAAAGCTCCACGATCAAGGGATTCAATATCAGCCGTCCATTCAACCACTCCAAATTTACCCTTGATCTTTCACCTATGTACGGGCCATTCCACTTCAAAAATATATAAATAGGTCCCTCATTTCTCTTGAGAGGGGACCCAAGTAAGAAGAAGAGAAGAGAAGAATAAGAGGAAAGAAACTCCTCCTTGACCATCGCCGGAGTTCCGCCCGACTTTCAAATGACGCCGGAATTTCGTCCGACTTCCAAGTGACGCTGGAATTCTGCCCCACTTCCAAGCGAAACCGGTATTATGCTCGACTTCCAAGTGACACCGGATTTTTGTCAAACCTTCAAGTGCTGCTGAAAATCTACCCGAACTCTAAGTGACGCTGGAATTCATTCAAACTGGGCTAGGCCCTGTGGTTTTTCCCCCCTTTTTTAGGGGTTTTCAACGTAAAAATCTTGGTGTCGCATAAATGCTACACCCTCTCTCTCTCATCTGATTGCATGCCGAATTTTCGTACAAAGTTAAGACATTACGCTTTCTCTACCGCCACGAATACTCCAGGGCACAACATACTTAATTTTTTTTAGAACTTATTAACTACTAAGTTTATGACATTTGATCAAAGTTCCATAATCATCCTCAGCACCAAGAGTTAGAGCATGGGTAGAATGCACAGGTTCATTTAAGAAGAGAGTACTTGGATGTGGAAGGTTATTGAGGCTTGATGTTGCATCTTGGAGGCAACACAAGCATGAGAGCTAATCTTGGAGTCTCCATATGAGGTAGTGAACTTGTTCCAAACACAGCGGTCTTTTAGTCCATGGTTTGAGATTGACTGGAGGGGGATTGGCCAATATTGTGGCAAACTAAGCCATAATGGAAGTAGAGGTGGTCAATACCTTCATAAGCAACCGGCTTGAAAAATTTGGGCCCCAAACCTTTAACCTAAACTCAAATTGGAAGTGTCTTGGAGAGATTCGTCTTTGCACACGCGCAAGTAAAAAGATTAGACCCACAAATAAAAAAAAATTAAATTGTTCATTTTCAAGTCAAAAGAGCGTTTTGAATCAACCCGAACTCTGACATGTTTAACAAACGAGTCGGAAAATTGATCTCGAATCCGACTAGTTTATTAAACAGTCAACCAAAATCCAAAATTTTGGATCGAATTGGCGGGTCAGATTATTTATTAACACTCCTACACTCTTGTGCTTAATAGCACCTAATTGATATCAAGAGGGAAAATCCAACTTTTTGAAATTTGAATTGGTTGATTGTATCTATTTAGAATTTTGATGGATTAATAAAATGGGTGACTTTGGCAAGATGGAATAAAGGAAATATTTTTTGGATTTAGGAAATAATGTATATTGAAGATTTAAAACTTAAATGAATATAAAAGGAATGGAAAGTTCATAAATGATTCTCTCCTAAACATACTCATGATTAGTTAATCAAATGATTCAAGCAAGTTAATATTAAAATTTGGAACACTCTTGTGCTTACCAAACACAAATAATTGATGGAAAAGCTTTTGCATATAAATTATCTTACAAAATATATTTTTTGTAAATTTGCATGTGACGTAAAGTAAGAGATTTAAAATTCAAATAAATTGGCATAACTACAAGTATGAGCTTCCATAGGCCAATACATTAGGTTAGGGATGTTACTATGCTAAGAGTTCAAGAAACCTATAAATGATGAACATTGCTCATTATTCATCAGAATTCTCCCAAATAATCATTAAAATTTTCATGTTGAACCATTAATTTTTAATTTGAATTTATAAAATTTACTAAATCTTATCTGAATTTGACCTTATTAGGTCATCTCCAACTGAAAAATTTATTTTTAACTACAAAATAGAATAAGAGACACATAAAACAAGAATTTATCTCCAACCGAACTATATTTTTACTTCAAAAAAGAATATTCTATGCATATTCTTTCTCTATTATTTTTTTTTTCATAAAAAACTGCGTTCGTGAACAATGTGATACCAATATTTATGTCGCACTATTCAAAACACGGAAATGTTTTTCCGAATGCCGCTCTATTGGACGCTCAGGTGAACTGCAAACACCCGAATGATGTTCGATTGAAGATGCCTTTAGTGTCAAAGCATCCCCCATGATGTTAAACTAACAAAATAAATTTATATTATGATATACTTATATAATTTGGATTTAAACTAGTTAAAAAAATTATTGAATTAACTTTAAAATAAATGTTATATATATATGAAGAAATGAAGAATTTATATTATATTATTCTTAAAATAAATATGATAAATTTTAAATTCATCCTAATGTAATTCATATTATAAAATTTCAACACAACTTTTTAATATAATTAAATATAATAAAAAAATATTATATAAATACATAACCATACAAAAGAGGGGCCACCTATACATTTTACAAAGGTGAGCCCATCTTCACCCATCCATACGGCACTATCATTAAGGGAAACAATTATTATAAAGGTGGATTTACATACATACCACTTTATTTTATGCTATTTATATATCTAATACCTAAAATATTAATATTACATACTTACCACCTATAAATCATCCTGAACAAATAATTTGCAACTGCCTTTTGGGTTTAGCAACGAAGCGCCTAGGCAGCCCAACACACTTGAATGCCGGACCAAAAATGTAACTAGCATTAAATCATATTGTTTTTTATGCCCGAGCACTACAATTGGGCACCTGGATGTTGTTCTTACTATTTCCCTAGGCCCCAAAAATCGCTCTTGGCGGCATCTGCCATAACTAGGTAACTAGGGCCACTAGGCACAAGGCCAAAAATTACACCACTCATTGCCAGAAAGATTCCAATTTCTCATTTAATGCGTCACGCATATAAATTGTCAAAAATCCCATTCGCCTGCATATATGAAAGTATTTGAATTCATTTAATGAATCTTTGAATTAGAGCGACAATAACTATGAAACAAAAGATCTGAGCCAAGATAAAAATGCATACAAATCTTATAAAATCACTACACCAATAAAACTGTATGTGCCACTCCAACAATATACTTAACATAAATTTTTCAATAAGAGTTATACCAAAGAACATGCTTTTAAATCCTATATTTTCTGCTCTGATGTCCAATGATTATATTTTAATTGCTATCTTTTTAATCAAAAGTGTTATATATTTTATTTTATTAATTCTTTATATACTTTTTCTCTAAAAACAGCAGCACGACAGTTCCATATTTTAAAGCCAATACAGTGCATCATTGAGGATTAATTATTCTTATTATTCTTTATTTTTTTGAAAATGCATAGAGATTTAGGTTTCATTTTGGACAGCTTTCTTCTTGCTTTTTAAAAGCGCTTGCTAGTACAAAAAATTTTGAATTTGAAATTTTTTTAATAAAAAACTATTTTAAAAAACAATACAATACAAAATTGTCCCAAAGGAAACCTAATATCAGTGAAACAGAACTTAATAATGAACAGCATCCACGATCTTATGACAATTCAACGAGGACCAACTGCTCTAACTTCTAACCAACATTTATTTGTTCTTTCGGGTTCATACTGTCTCTGAAATATGTTGGACCCTAAAGCAACTATTTAAAAACAGATAATACTAAAATCATTAAAACTCAAATAAGCAAAGCGCACAACTAATAAATTTCCGGTTCTTAAGCACAAGATGTTTGTTACACATGGCAAGCCACCATTCTCAAGACAGAAATGCACAGTAAAATGAAATAAATACATGAGCAATAGACATATAAAAAATATAAGCAGGCACTACTGCTACTTATTTTCTCAATAATCATATAACAAAAAAGAAGCAAACTAACATCTCACAGGCTTCCGTCACAACTGCACTTGAACCTGGGGTAGAAGAACGCAGAAACAATTAAAAGCATGAAAAACATAACTTGCATTTTAATTGTCAATAGAACTACAAGAATCAGCCAAAAAAACCATCCTAGTCGAACTATACGTCCAGCCACCAACCACAACATATCATTGCATCGATTTGCAGCTTATCAGCGGGAGTTTGAAACCTGCATGACGCAAAAACAGAATGAGGTCATTATTACAGGAAATAAAACATGTACTCTAGTCAATTTTCCAAAGCAGGAAAGCATAAGGCACTTTTACAGTTTTAACTGATTTTGGGATGTTGAGAGGCTGTCGATATTTGTCGCCATTTTTAATAGTTGATAAGTGGTATCAATGTTACATTCATTCTTTAATAGTTACATGCGTAGATAAAAAGTTTAATGTTCCTTATTTATTTTGAATGTCGCGCCTCAGTGCAATTTGACCCCGTAACGATCTGGCTTGTTATGTGATAGAAATGTACCCCTCAAACTTAATGGAAAATTCTATAAGATGGTAGTGAGGCCTGCAATGCTTTATGGTGCCGAATGTTGGCCTTTAAAAGAGAAGCATAATACTAAGTTAAGTGTGGCAGAGATGAGGATGCTCAGGTGGATGAGTGGCTTTACCCTTAGAGATAGGATACGAAATGAGCATATACGTGAAAAGGTTGGAGTAGTTCCAGTAGAAGATAAGATTAGAGAAAGTCACCTTAGATGGTTTGGTCACATAAAACGGCGGCCTTGTGATGACCCGGTTAGGAGAGTAGAGGTATTAGATTTGACTTATGTTAAGAAAGGTAGGGGTAGACCTAAAAAGACTTGGTTAGAAAATATTATGAATAAACTTTCTTTATTAGATTTAAACGAGAATTTGACTTTTAATAGGACACAATGGAGAAAAAGGATTCATGTAGCCGACCCCACGTAGTGGGATAAAAGCTTGATGTTGTTGTTGTTGTATCACACTTTTTTAGATTAATTAATAATTTATTAATTTTCTTTTAATTTATCATTTTTTTTATCATTTGGTTGGAATAACTATATGAATCATAATAATTTTCTCTTTCATATTAAACAAGCTAATAGAATAAAGCTCGAGCTAGAATATTAATTAATCAAGCTGAAGCCGAAGCTCAAGCCAAAGGTGACTCGAGCTCAACTAGACTTATTTTCACCTCTAACTTAAATAACCATTTTAATAACATATTAAAAATATTAAATTATATATATATATATATATATTAACATTTGTATATTAATATTTTTTATGCGAGTCTACTCGACAGCTAATGAGCAGAGTTCGATTTAACTCAAATTTGACTTATTAAATTATTGAGTTCAAGAGCTTTTTTGCAAAATCAAACAAAAAAAAATTGGAATAAAATAAAATCTAAAATAATGTGTAGGTAATCAAGGTTCAAGTTAAGATTGAATTTAATAAGAAGGTTTTGAGATAAAAATGGTCAATTTTAAACTGAGTTCAACTTGATATCTAAAAATGAATGTAAAAAACAATTAATTTTGAAAATAGCTAAATTTTAAATATGTATATAATTACTCTTTTTCAAAAAAAAAAAAAAGTATTATAATATAATAGGCATCAATAAGAACATGTTCACATCAATAGATTCTTTACTCTATGTTGGTCTCAATGCATCACATGTTAAACCTTTATCCCACACTATAGCAGTTTTCAAATCACCTTTACTTTTGCTTAAATTGAGCTGCTAAAGATCATTTAGGCACCTACTTTTTTATATATGTAAACTACTTTAGCCCTTCATTGATTATGTGTAGGGTCCCACTACTCACTTTAGGTTTCATTTGGGACAACTTTCGTACCACTATTTAAAGTAGTACGAGAAAGTTGATTGGGAGCTTTAGCTACCAACTTAGATTTCGTTTGGGACAGCTTTGTTGATGCTTCTTCAGAAAGCTTTCTAGTAAAAAAAATTCAAATTTGAGGGATTTATATACATACCACTTTATCTCAACATTAATATTATATGCTTACTGCCCATTGAACAAATTTGGATGTATGGAATGAAATATTAAAATTTATAGGATGGTATGAATGATAGAAATGAATTATAGGACTGATATATTTGATATTAAAGTTCTATATGGGTGGTAGACATGTAATATTAATGTTTTGGGTGTTAGATGTGTAAATAACATGAAATAAAGTGGCATGTATGTAAATCTCCCTTTAAATTTTTATTCTAGGAAGCCATTTTAAGATAATAAAGCCATTCCAAACAAAACTTTAGCCTGTTGATTGGGAACTTTAGCTACCAACTAAGAGATTTTGAGTTCTTGCGTTATGTGTATGATATGTATATAAATTTGATTTAATTGACTTAAATATCCTAAAAAAAGATTATGTGTGGGGTCGCTAAACCATGTGGCAAGAAAAAGACTCTCCACCACAATTAGAACATCCATCATGATTTGCCGGCACTAATACATCCATGCTAGAAAAGGAAAACAATGAAGCACCAAACAAAACAAAAGACATCAAAAGTTACAGTCTACCACTACAAAAACAGCAACAACTAAATATAGATATAATGAACAAAGAAATCAATTAACTTCATATCTATCTATAGACACAAAATCAAATGAAGGGTCTGCATAAACACATGAGGATCCTGTGTTTATGCCCAAAGTCTCCTAATCAACAAACTTGTATGCCAGTAGTGAATGTTCAGGACAGACCATCTATTAACAAATAAAATACAATTCACACACAAACTTCAGGGAAGCCAAATTTATTTATTGAAGATAGTGATAAACTGTATCTATAACAGCAACAATTCTATTTGGTAAGACTGTTAAGATACAGATCCATGATATCAGAAATTGTTTCCATGAATGCAGTTTCGCCAGTACCTGGAAGAACGGCGTCTTCGGCTTCGCGGATCATTTCCTCCATCTTGGATTCCTTCTTGACTGTTTCTCTGCACAAGATGTTTCCTATGTCATAAAGAGTGAGTCCCCTTTCTGCTCCTTTCTGCAGAAGCATGGTGGATATGCGGAGAGTTCGGGAGCACTCCAGTGAGGGCTCCCAGCCATAGAACTTGAGAAGGGCCAAGTCCTGCTCAGCGTCTAGAGATTTAATGTAGTCTAAGGTTGTGGAATCTAAAGGCTGGCGAGCCTGAGGCCAGAAGAGCCAATCGAATGTGCAATCTTCAAACTGCAACGCACAGGGGTAATCAAAATTATGAGACTATACAGGAAAGTAGATATTGAGCCAAGACTACCATACAAAGAAAAACAAGACACTAACTTTCTTTATGCTTCTTATTTATGCTTCTTAAAACAGCTTTATGCAGTAATAAAGCTGTCTTAAACGAAGCCTAAAACAGAATAAGATATTACATGTGTATTGTTTCAACAATCAAGTAGATGATAAACATACGAGGAACTGAAAACAAAGAGAAGTTAAATCTCATGGGGCATAAGATGAGGAGTTTAGTTGAAATTGATGTACTTACATTCTCTGGCAAACAGTATCCATGGTCAATAGGAATCAGCACAATTCGGTCCTCTTCACCCTCCCTATAGAACAATATATTACCAGCATGACGATCTGCATTAGCCAGCCTTAAATCGAGAACAGCTATCTTATGCACCTCCTCAACTGGAAATGCCTGAGGACCTATTTCCTCACAGCTGCCATGGTTCTTTACAAACTTCTGCAATGAACCAATCTTTAGCTCCTTTTTTCCATGACCTCCATGTAAGCACCGGACCATTGTAGTCGGAGGAACCCCGGAAAACCCAACTTCATTAGAGAATAAACTGCGAGGACCGCTGATTGGATGATCTAGAATGTAAGCGGCGACTTCTCTTAGCGCACCCTCGCCAACACGAGTCCCCCTCTTCAATCCTTCCCCATCCAAGGATGGCGGGAGTCCACGAGGATTGTTCTCAGCCATGGGCTCCTCGTCAATGGGCTTGAAGACACCTACATAGTTGTGGCCTGTTGCATCAAACATGAAGTAAGCTCCCCCTGAGCCTTCTGGAGACATGACCGGCTTGTGTCCCTTTTCCAATCCAGCATAGGTTGAATTAATCAATTCCTCAAGCACCGAGGAAAGTTCAACCTTTGGATTGACAGTAACTGGCTTAATCAAAGCTCGTATGTCAGGTGGTTTTTTGACAACCACCTTCATATCAGCCCCCTTCTTCTCCTCTAAGCATGGGGCTTCAATCGACAACTCGAAGTCTTTCTCAATAGTCTTCGTCTTAACCTTAGCCGACTTGCGTATCAGTAAGTGGATGACAGCATCATTGTTCTTGCAGATGTCATTGACCATCTGCTGATCTTCAAGCTCCTCGCCATCACAGATAAGCTTTTGAGCTTGAATATCCACAAAATCTTTACCCTTCTTGGCGATCTGTTCCTTAATGTAAGCGACATTTCGGCTCTGTTCCACTTGGAACTCAAATTTCTTCCCGCAGGCAGTATTTACAGTGATGAAACGGAGATCAGAAAACCTTATAACGAGATGGAGGACATTCCCATCAGTCACACCATAATCCCGAATACGGCAATCATTCCGGGCCAGCTCCCGCCCATCAAAAACCAGCTTCTGATTCTTGACAACAAATCCTTTGCAGCTCTGGATTCTAAGCTTGACAGAGGCAATTAAATCAGAGTCTAAAACTCTAATCGGGATCACTGACGAGCCTGGGACTGCAAGGTAGATCAGGATAGAATCGTCCAAGTAATGCAGTGACCGGCTGCGTTCAAAAAGGACCGAGGAAAGGACTGCATCCTCCATAATGGAACTGATTACAACGCCAGCTGACGACATCTTCTCACCACTATGCTAAGACGAACCGCGATCCTCCTTTTAAACCCTAGAAAATATCGAACTATAGATTTCGAATGAACTCCCCTCCGAAATCCGACAAGACAACCCAACAGGAAGCACTAATCTAACTTAACTGTACAAACCCATCTAAAAGTAAACAGAAATTCCAAGATCTAGGATCAAAACCAACAAATCCCTAAAAAAACCTAGCTACCAACTTTCGAAAGTGAGGGGTGAACGAGATCCTGTACCCGTTAAAGCAGCTAGGAGAAAGACGAAAGCCTCACCGGATGTTAACATAGAGATCTGACGGGGTTCAATACATTAAATAACTGACCTGTTCGATTCGCCTCAAACAACTATCAACAGACCAGATCGATGAGACAAAGAGACCCCGCACTCCACCACCCCTCTTAGACAAAAACCCGCCGTACCCGCAAGCTTTTCGCGCCCCTAACACCAGCTGAAGCGGAAGAAGTCGGAAGGAAGAAGATGGAGATGACGATAGTAATAAAGACCAAAGTATTTTATCCTTTTGAACCAGTTCGAATGGCGTTGACGGCGTTTGGTGAAAGAAAGGCGGTTTGAAGCTTCGTTGCTTCCAGGAAATGACGAAAGAGAGTGCAATTCCTTTATAGTCCTTACTGATACAGTGCACTCGGATCCCATTGTGCATTATGAGATGGGCAATATTGTAATATCGTATTCGACAGAAATATTAATGGCTCTGTGTCCAGGATAGTTAATACTGTGAAAGCTTAAACAACAGTTTTGCCGTTAGATTTAACGGTATTTGACGTGTTGCAGCCATGACGGTAAGTGGCGTGTTCTTGTCGAATGGGAGGCGAGTTGAAAACGATGAGATCGAGGAGAGATAGTGACGTGGCGCCATATCAGATAGCTACGATTTACGCCTATGCTGAAATTTGTTTTCTGTTAATCCAAATTCCGATTTGGCTAATTTAGCATTCAAATGCTTGAGCAACACACAAATTCTAACAAAATTTTAATATAATTATATTCTATATATATTATTATATATATATATATATATATATATATATATATATATAATTTAAATTTATATTTAAAATATAATTAATAATATTTTTTAAAAAATAACAATATTTTTTCCATGGGGTGTATATTTTTGGATAATGGATTGGGGAGACAATAAATTTTTTATTATATATATATTTATATTATATATATATATATATAATATATATATATATATATATATATAATATATATATATATAATATATATAGTATCCTCAAGATAAATTTATCTTGATGTGGGCACGAATGTGAGGAAAAAATCAAGTTGAAAACTTCTGAAATTAAAATTGGGACATTTGAACCCTCCCTCTGATTTTACTGTAAACTTACATTTCGAACTTGAGCGTCTCGGAAATACGAACCCAACGACACTAAATTGACTCAATTCCGAGTCAAATGGATCCAAATCAAGGGTCTGAAGCGATGTTGGAGGATTTTCAACCACAATTTGGGATTTACCAACCGGCTTTTCAAAACCTGACGTGCTTAAAGTAATGATCGTGGAGCAGCTCGACGAGAAGATCCAATGAGCCCAAAAAATCACTCTGAATTCCAACATCACTATGACAGTCTCAAATGTTCTATCAAAGGACTCCCAATCAAGTGATTTCAACAATCGGCCATCCATCCAAGCGACTCCCAATATGCCCTTGATCTCCTCTATTTATGGGTCATGCCACTCTAGGAACATCTCATTAATATAGATCCCTCCATTCCTCTTGAAAAGGGGGCTCCAAGCAGAGAGAGCAAAGAGAAATCAAGAATTAATCTTCCACTCTTAGGTCCTCAAGACCTTACTGCTTAGGAGTGTCCGCTGGGAACCACCCACTTGAGGACCTCTCTGAGCCCCATTGGCCTGAACGTGGACCACCATCTTGAGGCCCTTGTCGACCGTTACCATCTTGAGCATGCAGCACTCCACTTCCAGAGTAGCCGATTAATGGAGGCCTTCCCGCTGACGCACCATTTGAGGCCCTGGTCCAAGACAACGAACTAGATGCGACACTTCTTGAGCCCGAGCAGACCACACACTGGATGCCGACAGTTCTTGCCGAGTACACCACTCTTGACCACACATAGTTCTGCAGACGGCTCCCACCTGATGGCCCATTGGGCTCACGACACCACACTGAAGGCCCTGAGCTCCACCGGACCACCAACTAAGCCTGAGTTCTACTGGCACCACCTAATGCCCTGAGTTCTGTCGGACCACCACGAGGCCCTATGTTCTGCAGGATCACCACTTGAGGCCTGAGCTCCACCGGACCACCACTTGATGCCCGAAGTTCTGCCGGACCACCACTTGAGGCCTTGAGCTTTACCATCCACCACTTTGATGCCCGGCTGTTCTACCGGACCACCAGCTTATGCCAGAGTTCTGCAGACCAACTACCTGACTGCCGAAGTTCTACCGGACCACCACTTGAGGCCCGAAACCTCTACGACGATCACCTAAGACACTTTTTGCCGGGGTCACCCCTTGGCCCCCAGAGTTTTACCAGAGTACCCCCTACTACTACGATCCTTCACCCAATTCTCATACCGACTACGATCCTTTCTGACCTCCGTCCTACTTGGTCCTTCTGACACTACATCAGCAGACAACGTTTTTTCAACCCTGGTCATGCCTGAACTACGATCCTTCCGATCTCCGTCGGTCCTACTATCGGTCCTTCCGATTTCATCGCCAGAACAACGTCTTTCTGACCCTTGTCTCCTGCTTACTACGATCTTTCCCGACCTCTATCATATTGACTATGGTCTGTCACCAAACAAACATGTCTATGTTGATTATTGTAACTCCCTCATATAATATGTCTATATGATGTACATTTATAACATTAAGCCAATGCCTTCTCCAAGGAAGGGCCTTAATTATTTGTAATCAACTACAAATACTAATAAATTCATTAAAACTGGGTCAGACCCCTGTGGTTTTTTCCCCTTTTTAGGGTTTTCACGTAAAAACTCTTTGTCTCTTATGAACGCTACACCCTCTCTCTATTTGATTGCGTGCTGGATCTAATATTAATATATATATATATATATATATATATATATATATATATATATATTAATATATATATATATATATATATATATATTATATTATATATATATTTTTTTTTAGCATTTTATGTCCTTGATTAGGACATGAATAAATTCTTGAAATTTATTCCTACGGTCTAAAATACTTTTAAAAACTCATTAAAGAAGAATTAATTTTTTTTTAAAATTTGAGAAAAATCATAAAACTTTACATAATTGCCCAAAAATAAGATATTTAGACATAAATGAGATGTTTTGCATAATTGTAAGAACCCATTTTATAATTTAAAATAATTATTTAAAAAAAAAAAAAATTCTGATAATTATGAAATATGGGCTAAAATGTTGTTTTAACAATTAACCATCCTAAACATTTTAACTCCTCCATGAAATCCATAAATCTTTGGGGTAAATTTAAATCTTTAAACATAGCTTCTTCAAATAATTAATATTAAAAAAATTTAAAAATAGAAAAATACAATATTTTTTTATAATTTTTAAGTGCATTGTTTTAAATTGTTTAGAATGTTTTTCATCCCTTGGTTAAATCTTCACACCATTAAAACTCTTTTTTTAATTATTAATATTTTATTAATTATAAACCCATTAAAATTGCTTTTTTTATTTGAAATTTTTAATAACACAAAAAACACATAAAATGTACTCCTTGATTATTTAGATGAATTCATTAATAAATAATTATATAATAAATAATTATTTAAAAAAACTCGCTAAATATAATTTTAGATACTTTGTTGTCATAATCCAACACCTTTAGTGGTTTATTTAGGCCACTTCAAACTTTAAATTTTTAATAATTAATTTTTCTTAAACATTTTAAAACCATTATATATATATATATATATATATATATATATATATAAAACATATAAAATGAAAAAAATCATAAAATTTGCATATCATTAAAACATATATAAAAACATTCCCTCATTAATTAAACTTAAACATCAACATCCAAACATTAATCCACTTAATTTGTTTGCTTACCCACACAACCAAACACATATTATGTTTATGGTATATCACACCCTCAAACAACATATAGTTAGGATATATATATATTTTATTATGTAACTCATTTTCATTGTTTGATTATGTTGTTTGATGTATGGGCAATGGGTTGAGAATGTTTTTTGGTAGTATTTATATCAAAATATGATATTTATATATCTTCTATTAATGCTTCATTTGCGACGACTTTCTTACTGTTACTTCATAAAGTAATTTTTTAGTAAAAAAATTAAATTTATATTGGCCATTAAAAGAGAAGCATAATATTAAGTTAAGTGTTGCAGATGTGAGGATGCTCAGATAGATGAGTGGATATACTCTTAGATACATGATACAAAATGAGCATATATACATGAAAAAGATTGGAGTAGCTCTAATGGAAGATAATATTAGAGAGAGTCGCCTTGGATGATTTGGTCACATAAAACGTCAGTTTTTCAATGACTCGATTGTGAAAGTAGATGTAATAGGTTTGACTTATGTTAAGAAGGGTGAAGGTTGACCTAAAAAGACTTGATTAAAAAATATTAAAAATGAACTTCCTTTATTAAATTTAAATGAGAACTTGACTCTTAACCAGACACAATTTAGAAAAAAAATTCATGTAGCTAATCCCATATAGTGAAATAAAGACTTGATGTTGTTGTATACTAAAAATTTGCTTTAAGAAGCAGTAAAAAAACGGTCCTAAATGAAGCCTAAGTACTTTGCTTAACAACATTGTCAAGAGGGAATACTATGTTATACTAAAATAAAAGTGTTGAGGAATAAACTATTACCTCCCACCTAAAAGAAATAGTAAATTATTAGCATTAACATCATTGAGTATAAGGAAATGATAAAAATATCGAATTGATCCCCTAAATTTTTTCTGAATGATCAAATTTATTATATAAAGATATCAATTTGATTCATTAATTCTTTAAATATGGACTGAATATGAGTCTTTTATATAATTGGGGATCATTTTGGTTCATCGTAAAGAATCAGGAGACCATTTTGATCCAAATATTCAATGGAAGCTAATGATTAAATACAATTAAACCACAATAACACTAACAACATTTTTCCATCCATCATGGTCTTTCATTCCAATCCATGATCTTATTACTAAAACCCACAAGAATGGACAACAGCATAATTTGACTCATAGATTCTGACTTAGCATAGACAACTAATATTCATATAGAAAAAAAAAAGAAGAAAAAATAATTCAAATTTGAATGAATTATGAAAGGTAAGATTTTCTTAATTGAATGACGACGACAACAACAATAATATCAAGCCTTTATCCAACTCCGTGAACCCGCTTAATTGAACGACTCAAAAGATAAAAACTTGAAAAAAAAAAGTAAGAAAACCCAACCAGGTAACTCTTTAGAACTTAAGAGTGGCAATGGCATCTAAAAATATTACAGAGGAGGTCAAGGACAAGAACCTCAGCTGCTATAAAGACCCAGAAAATGCAATCTGCTATACATTTCTGATAACGCACCAACAACTAAAAACCCAAAAGCTCAAGAGACAACCATTTTAGTTGATCCCAAGCCATCTTCAAAAGCTACAAAGTATGAGAAATGATGAGCAGTGCTAATCAGTCTTCTAGAACAGTTCTTAAACAATCCATATGCAAGAAACTTCTAAAAAAAATTCTCCAATAGGAGCTCACATAGGATGGAAACCAGTCCATTATTGAAAAATTTTAATTTTCATGGTTTTAAATGAAAACAAATGGCAAGATTCACATTCACTTACATGAGAACATCATTGGTTGCCTTCTCATAAGTTCCTGTCAATAAACTCCCAAATCCTTTCTTCCATGTAAACCCGGTCTCGGAACCGGCGGGGCATATGTCGTTCGTCGGGGAAGACGAGAAGCTCGTAAGACTTTCCAGCATTGATGAGTGCATTGACAAGCCTTGCAGTGTGCCTGAAATGCACATTCTCGTCAATCATGCCATGGACTAATAGCAGCTTTCCCTGTAGCTTGTGCGCATGGTGCATGATGGAACTGTATTGATATCCCTCCTTATTCTCTGATGGCAAGCCCATGTATTTTTCAGTGTAGAATGTGTCATAGCCATCCCATGAAGTAACGGGAGCACCTGACACAGCACAGCTAAATGTATCAGGAAACCTTGCCAGACACAAAGCTGACAGGAAACCGCCATAGCTCCAACCATAGAGACCGATATGGCCGGGTTTAGCTAGCCCTTGTTTAACAAGCCATTGAACACCAGTGAGTTGATCTTCTGCATCGATACGACCGACGTTGTGCTTCAAAAAGCTCTCAAATTTAAGTCCTCGCCTCGCAGTTCCTCTATTGTCTAGCTGCCAGTACCCAAGTTAAATACGTAATTACGTCAGTTTACCGAATTTTGAACTTGCTTATGATAACTAAAGCTTCGGTTGGGACGGCTTTCTTGTTGCTTCTTAAAGCAATTTTCTAGTACAAAAATTTTAATTATTGAACTAGAAAGCTGCTTTAAGAAGCAACAAGAAAGCCGTCCCGGGCTTCAACGAAGCCTAAGAGTATATCAAGCAGCACATGCATGAGGTTCCCTTCATTGGGAGGGGCTGAGTTAAGAGGAAAAATTCTAGGAGTGCAACACAGAATTTGTTTTCTTTTCCGAAAGATTATAAACTTTTAAAAAGTAAATGCAAATGCTGCTACTTTTAAGAAAAATATTTCCAAAACTACAAAGTGAGGTGCTAAGAAAAAACCTGATGTCACAATTGCCTTTTAAGTTTTAGCACTGTAAGATAATTATTTGCTCAGATTACTTCAAAGAAGCATACAGAAATACCACAAGAATGGCATGCAAGTTTCCATATAAGAAGGATTGTGATATATGAAACACTAACAGGATATATTGGATGCCATAATATAAAGGGTACAGTGCTGTAGCAATTATTGGAAAAAGTATTATAAAGTTTAGGAACGATATGGGGAATAATATGCGTGTCTCTGCATTTATTTGATCATATTTAAGGATTTTATTAGTACAAGTGCATACATCAATTCATGGCTAATGCATCAATGCAAAGAACCAAAAATAAAGAGTAATTCATCCAAAAGTATATTAGATACAAGAGTGCATACAAACATTGCAAGAACATAAACAGAAAGCTATAAATATAAATTGTCTACAAGAACATTCGCCATATCCACTGCTACTTGATCCCCAGGGTATGATCGCTTCCTCCATCAATTGTCCCTCATTCAAAATAATTTAACTCCCTGGTTCTCCAACTACGACACTGTATCATAGCCTCTCAACCTCCTTTAAATGACTTAAAATCCCCTTCAACATCAATACTATTAATAAAATTTAATGATAAAAATTATCTCTTAAGATTAAGGGAATTTCGCTTTCTTCTTAGTTTTCATGACAAGTTCCATTAACTTGTGCTTTCCCCCTCCAACTTGCCATGCATCATCAAGTTTGTAAAGTGGCGAATGTCTAATTATGTTGTTCTTAAATAATTGTTCAATAGCATTGAACCCACTATTACTTCCATTGTCATGTTTCAACACTAAACCAAAATGATATGGGATTGAATGTACTTTCTATGTTACTATCTTATTGTTAGATTAAGAGTTTTTATTGGAAACTACTTCCTTCACATGTTGTTGAATTTCTTTATTGTTTGATGATTCAAGTGCTTATTATGTAACTTGGCCTAAGAGAAGTGGCTTAAGCGAAGTGACCGCTCTTACGTTTTCTCTTTTCACTTTAATTAGCTAATAATCTTAATTGTTCTTGTTCTTTTCAAAATAGTGCAAGTTCTTAACGCATTCATTCAAAAGCATTGTAGTCTTGCATCATGATGACTATGAAATCTTTGATTGAATTAAAAATCAAAGATATAAGGTAGGAGAAGGCACGAAGAAATCGATAATAACCACGGAATCAGTGTGAGATGGAATGATAGATTGTGGCTTCTAGAATCACTGACAATTAACTAAGACGATGCAATGAAAGCACTAATATTAGGACCCAATATCTTAAATGAAAATTCAAATTGTTTAAACTCCCAAAAGAAAGAAAAAAAAAATAATATACAAGAAGGGAAACTCATTCGTTCATTTTCCATACCATCATCCACCCTAAATGGAGGCATGTATAGAACACAATGTAGAATACAATGACTCAGAGTAGTTAAGTCCACTAATTAATTCACTTTTAACTACTATCTAACTCTAAATGGATTCACAATAGCCTGCAACATCAAAGTGACATTACAAAAGCTTTGCATACAATACATGCTTCTGTCCCCATCTCTTTCAAAATTACAAATATGTAGCATTAGAGATAAACTGTATGAACATGGGTTTGTCACTCATATCCCCTTCTCTTGAAATTTATGTATTTGAAATATAGGACGTGATGAAAAAGTAGAGTGAATTATTTGATTAGTCTACTCCAGGAATCAAGATTAGCAAAACAGTTCACATTTACCTTTACTTAAACTACAATCACATCATGGTTAAATTCATCATTCAGTTACTAAAACTTCATTACAGCACAGGATAGATTAATGCCTAAATGAATCAATAAATGTAAAACTATATCAAGCTTACCACCTTCTGAGACAAAATTGTTGCATAAACATGAAAGCTATATAGAAACCATTATAAAAAACTGCCACACTAGAACCATTACAGGAGGTTTACCAAAATAAAAGCTAATAATTGAAGTGCAGGTGTTACATTACTAATAGAAAATAGTTTAAAGATCACATATGCATTTATCAAGGTCATGGCAACAAATAAGCAATGATGTACAAGTAGGATGTCTTAGATGGCAAAGATGATATTCATTAGTCACTAACCTTCCACACAAGAATTCCTTGGCTCCTCAGGTACTGAGCTCGCATGTCAACTGTATTTAGCCATGAATCACAAACAAACTGAACAGTTGGACCCCCATAGACACTGATTAATGTCTTATAAGGAGGTGGTCCATATTTTTCTGCATCAGGTTCATACAGAGCACCATATAGAATGGTTCCATCATTAGCGGAAATCTGGATAATTTCTGGCGGAGAAAGTTGAAGCTTCTTGAACCTTGGAATAACTAGTGGCTGCTCATACAAGGGCATTATTAAGCTCCCATCACGCAGAGAACAAAGCGACACCCTTGGTGGAATGTTTAAAGAGTCGTGCACATCGACGAACCTTTGCATCTGATGATCAAGGATAACAGCATGCTTTCCTTGGCCTTGTGTCAGCCTCCATGGCAATTGTATTGGAAGGTCCCAGTCTGGAAAGAGGTTGGTACAGTACAAATTAGATTCCAAAGGTCCATCCATAGTCCCAGTGAAGTAAATTAGACCAGTACTTTCATTAACACCTACAATTTGCTCAACCATCCAATCTCCTTGTGTGATTGGCCCCAAGCAAGCACCATTCTTGTCATGAAGGTAAAGATGTCTGAAACCAGTTTTATCGCTAGCCCAGATAAAGCACCCAGGAAACTTTTTCGCTCCCTTATCGAGAGGTGTGAAGCAATCATGCAAATTTATCCATACATCCCGTTCTTCTACCAAAACAATTTCCTTCTGTCCAGTCACAATATCAAACTTATAAATTTTCAATTTGGTATGAGATCTGTTGAGAACCTGAACCATAAGAGCATTATCAGGCATCCAATTGACTCTAGCTAAATATTCATCGTCATTATCCGCATGAACTTTTTCTCCACAAAGAAGATCCATCCAAGTGATCCCTTCCCTACAAACAGAAACTACTCCAATCCGAACTTTTGCATTAGATGCTCCAGCAAAGGGGTATGGATGGTCTTCCTGTGCATCAGTACCAACTGAACTTTTACCCAGATGCATAATTCTAAAAGAAGGTATTCCAGATGAATCAACTTCTGCAAATGCAATATTTCTACTATCAGGTGACCACCAGAATCCCGCTTTTCTATCCATCTCCTCCTAGCAGCCCATAGAATGGAGGAGGATGCAATATTAGTTATACAATACAAACCTACCCAACCAAGAAAATTTGGTAGATGGATAAAGTAAATGAAGCAGAAGATTTGTACCTGTGCGATATATTCAGCAAGGCCATGAGTCTGTCAATTAAGAACAATGCACAGAGGTCAGAATCTTCATATGCACAGGAACTCCAACAAATTCACTAAATAAGAAGACTTTTCAATCAACAAGTACCAAAGTATAGCGTGATTTTTAATTTCAATAAGATGAGCAAATTTTGAGTATGCCCTAACCAAATGCAAGATCAAAATTCAAGCAGCACATTTTTTTTCTAGAAAAAGATTGCACAAAATATAGTTAGCTCCACATATAGCAAGATAGTAAATAAGAGTTTATAAAGCTAACCCCAAGGAATTGGGATAAGACTAATGATAAAGACGGAAAATATTTTAATTTTCGACTTCCTTTTGACATTGAATGACCGAAAAGTTTCAAAAAATGAACACTCGTCAATAAAAGCCACTTATCTATTCATAAATACAACAAAGAAAATCTTGTCAAGAACTTGTTTACCTGTCATACAAAGAGCAATGAGAAAACCAATATATACATCAACTTACAGAGAAAAGCAAACTAAAAATTTCTCAACAAAGAATACCAAACTAAAAGCTCTCTATGTAAAAACAATAATATTGCCTACTATATTCCTTTGTTGGTTGAGCTATGGTATAATTACAAGAATTATTTTAATTAAAAATAGAATATTTTAATTATCCCTCTTTTCATAAAGAGAGTCTCATCGCTTAGAAGTAAATAATAGAAAGGATTTTAGCAAGCCAATTCACTCCAAGTAACAAGAACCAGAAAATTTGTTTGCATGGAATTATATTACATAAAACTACCAATTGTAAAAACAATAACTATAAACCTTCAGCACAAACTGAAATATAGGGATGAAAACTACTAAAACTCTTTAATTAGATATTCTAAGTTGAATCTATTAAATGCAAGAAAGTCATATATTAACTAAAAAACGTAGAGGAAGTTTTTTTTATTGAAAAAAAAAAAAGATTAGAGCTCTAGAAAAACTCGTTGAATACAATTCAAACAATCCTTTATGCCTCAATAAAGGCTTCAAATTTCATTCTTGGATAAGAAAACAAATGCCTAAAGATGATGAAGCACACACAAAGCATTTTAAGAGCAGTGGATCGTACACATGTTGGAAACATAAACAAAGCAGTGAACCTGCCCAATGAGAAAATATGATCAGAGTATTATTCTGAGATCAAAGAAATGTAATCCATCTTGACCACATCACCAATCGTAGGTGAGCTGCTGGTCATTGAAAACATTCATCAAATCATAAATAAAAGTCTTTCATGTAGGATTTATTATTAAGCCCTTCCACTTTGCAAGTTTTACAAAGGCTATCATCCAACTTCTATATAGAACATTTAAATAAAAAAAGTACATAAATATGACATCAAAATATAAATTATACTCACAGCATATGATGCACATTTGTCAAAAAATCGTACAAATAATAGGATTAATCCACAACTTCTATGGACTATCTTTGCTCTAATATCTCACTCACTAGACTCAATTATTGGGTCTTTTAGAGCTTGTTCTTGGATGCATAGATCTTAGCACATATGCTATTTAACAAATATTATAATTATCTATCATAATGATACTGATGGAAACGCGACACAAGTACAATAAGAAATAATTTGCATGGATATAGCTAAAGAATCAAGAATATAGAGGCTCTGTCATGCATAAATCCTACATGGGTGTTCCATCTTGAGAATATTCAAATATGTTAAACAAGATTAGACCTATTTCCATTGTTATTGATTGCTTTTGTTTTTGTTTATTGATAAAAGGCAAGTGTTTAAAGCATGTGAGGGTATTGAGTTTAAAAAGCAGATATATTTGGTGAATTAGCACTATCACAGAGTGAAAAAGACCCAGATTTTGAGAAATACCAAGACTTTGAACGAAGAGAAAGAAACAGATTGGAAGCATGTCAAAAGAGCCTAACCTTTCCATTTTCTTTTGCACCATGAGTCAACTTCTTTGGCTCCCCGGTCCGCAAATCAAGAACATAAAGCTCGTCATCCTTCACGTAAGCGACTATAGTCCCATCCGGAGACAGGTGCGGATCAATGATCGGAGACTCAGGAGAGCTCCGAAGTTTAATTTCTGGCTCCGAACCAGGTATATTTTGAAAATATACCTGAAAACACGAAATGTTTCGATCTTGATGACTTGCATTCTGATAAGTATTTAAAAAGCACTACTCAGAGACCTACTCCTGAAGGCAAGGGAACCATTATGCTGAGTTTTCCAGCGCTGTAAGGTCTAGTAGCCCTCCATTCATATCTAGTCACGCCAAGTCCTCTCTCCCTCGCCCTCTCCCTCCTAAGCTTCTCCTCCGTCGAGAGATTGTTCTCGTCGAAACCGCCACCATCCGGAGGGCTGAAGACGAGCTCCTGCCGGCGATTCGCGAGATCGAATGCAAAGATCTTGCGGTAGAGTGTCCCATCGGAGCTGAACAAGTACGATATCATCCGGTCGTCATGGCTGAAGCTGATCGACGACGGTGCCATGTAGCCGGGAAGAGGGTGCTGCACGATCTCCTGTATAGGAAAGAGGAAAGAATCTTCATTCGTGTCCGTCATGGGCATCTCTTCCGCCTCCGATTCTCCGGCTTGATTCCTTCTCCTCTGCTTCTCGGCCCTCGGGCTTTCCTTCCTTGGCTGCTCGCCGATTGCCGCGCGCTTGCTCTGCGAATTTGATTCGTGCTCCACTGCGCGCGCTTGCATCAGATATCGAGAACTAATACTTCAAAGATCGGGTCAGAGGAGGAGATCTATCACCACTCTGCTGCTCCGATCTATTCGTCACAGACGGCCGGCTCCCAGCAGCGTTGCGTAGCTCTGTATTAAAAAACGGGCTTTTATTGCCGCTTGAGTAGGCTCAGCTTTAGGAAAAAGAACAAATTTTTGGTGAGGATATTTTTGTAAGATTTTTAATTGAATAAACTTAACACGTCATATTTATAGGATATGTATAAATATATAAAAAATTTCAAATAAATTTGAATATTATGAAAGTATAAAATAAAAATATCTAATAAAATAAAAGATATAATAAAATAAAACATATATTAAACATATCGATGAAAAATATGACAAAAATGTCATTTACCCTTCCTAATTGCTTGAATTTGCATCTATAAATGCTTCCAGCATATTCCAATTCATTTACCTTTTTATTAACATATTTGCAACATATTTTTGATTGCTGAAACAATTTCTTCGAGCATACATAATATAAAATTGATGCGCCTATTCTTCTAATTAATTAAAAGAAATAAAAAAAATTCAAAATAATACATAAATAATTCATGTATAGTCAATTTAGTCCCAGTCGATGGAACACTCTACCACAAGATCTTTGCATTCGATCTCGCGAATCGCCGGTTGGAGCTCGTCTTCAGCCCTCCGGATGGCGGTGGTTTCGACGAGAAAAATCTCTCAATAGAGGAGAAGCTTAGGAGGGAGAGGGCGAGGGCGACTAGATATGAGTGGACTAAATTGGCTATACAAAACTGATCCTAATTAGTCCCTAATGTTGTAATTGTAATATAAAATATATCTAAATTTAGTCCATCAACTTTACAAAATTGATAACAATTGACTTCCAAATGAATTATTTTGAATTAATTTTATATAAATGAAGACTAAATTGAAACAATGTTATACTCTGAGTTCATATCATGTATTCCAAATTTATTAAACGGATCAAATTCGAGCTAACCTGCAAATCTAACTTTGACATGAGAATGACCCGTTTAAATTTTTTTTCTTTAAATTTTTTTATTTATTGATATAATCTTCTTAGTTTTTATCAATTAACTAAAATATATAGTTAATAAGTTAATAAAAATATTTTTTTTTTTGTCAAAATGAGTTATCAGGTTAGGTTCAAATTGCTAGCAGTTCGGGTTCACCTTTTAAACCCGTTTATTAAATAGCTCGGGTTCAGATTGACTGAATTCAAATCAGATTAGTTTAGAGTCAAATCTAAATCCATCCCATTGACCCATTTTGACACCCTACATATGTTCTTCTTCATATTCTCCTTCCCCAATTGAATATCCACTCTTCCACTTCGTTAATGACCAATCTTTTTAGAAATCTGCTTTAAAATATTATAAATGTAGCTGATTTATCTCTTCTTAAGCTAATGAATAAAAGAAAGCAGCTTGCATTTCTATACAAGAGTATAATAGCTTTATTTTTATAGCACAATAATGATATAAATAATATTTTTGATGTCCATTTATGTCACATTTCATCAATCCATCTATTTAGCATTATAATGTTCCTTTTATTTTATTTTTTTGGAACGGGGTATCCACCTGTTGCCACCCCCGAAGAGGCACTTGGCAACATGGCTAATTCTCGGCTGACCTAGAAGAGGCACCCACCACCTGCTGGCCCGCACTTAAGAGGCGCTGCCGAGTCGAGGAGAATTGAACGCGGGTTGGGGGTTACCCAACCGCGTTCACCCACCAACCGAGCTAAGCATCGGCGGATAATGTTATTCTAAAATATACATAAATAAAAATAAAAACAATTCTTCATTAGCATGCACAGTAATATACATATACCTATATAAGTTGCAATGAAAGAAGATTTGAGTCAAAGATACTCTAATAAAATTTATTTTCTGATGAATATAAATATACAATACATTAATAATCAGCCAAAATTTATATTATATTCATATCAAAATAATAAATAATCATAAAATCTATACTAACCATATTTTGATCATGATGCTTATCAACGTGCTGCTGTTGGGTAGGGCAAAATGGGCCTATAATCTGTTCTGCCTGGAAGCAGCTCATTCATGAAGCTGCTTTAACCGCCAGCAACACCATAGCTGAATTGCTTGGGTTCCATGAACTTCCAAGTGATGTGGAAGTACACTTCTTTATTCTTTTGGATGGTTGGATATAATACCATGCCTGCAAAATTTGAATATCCACATATAATGAGATTCAAATAAACTATACTGATTGTGAAATCCTTAAGTGGGATGAAGTTATAGTTATACTCTTAAATATCGAGGCATCTTTATGTAATTGCTAAAATTTCGTTAGAAATTCCGATGTTAAGCGAATTCATGTGGAAGCACTTCGGATGGGTGACCCCCAAAGAAATTACATCAAAGAGAAAATCACGAGACTATTAGATCAAAGTAGACAATATCTCAAAAAGAAAATAAACTATACTGATTGTGAAATCCTTAAGTAGAATAACTCTTAAATATCGATGCATTTTTTGAAGTAATTGCTAAAATTTCATTAGAAACTCGATGTGAAGCGAATTCATATGAAAGAACTTAAGAGAAAATCACGAGACTATTAGATCAGAGCAGACAGGATCTCAACGATTAAGAATTCGAATTGTTACATTGATAGAGTGACTTTGATAGAAGAGTTTAAAGTTTGAGGTGCTGCAGTAAAGTCAGTATTTCAGGAATAATTTGAAAAGTTTTGAGTGATATGTATCCAACTATCTCATTACTTCTATTATTAAAACAGTCCATTATATTTTTCAAGTTTACATGAAACAAGTTAAAAGTTTTGAGTTTAATCGACCACATTTAATTTACTATGCATCAAATAGTAATGTTTGAGTCGGTTGAGGTGAACTCAATTTCAGAACTGAGACCCAGGTTTCGTTTGGGACAACTTTTTTTCTGCTTCTTAAAATTGTTGTATGAAGCAATAAGAAAGCCGTCCCAAACGAAGCCTCAATTCACAAGAATCAGCTTTACAAAATTTTGAATCAAATTTGATCCAGTCTCTTCAGAAATAAGCAAAGTTTAGAGCTCTTATGAATGTAAGATAGGCTGAGCATAAAATGGCAAAAGGCTGCTAGTTAGTGTGCCTTTCACCATTATTAATCATTTAGTTTATCTCAAATTCCAGGAATAACTGACAGTGATAAACATCATATGATGATAACAAAGTAAATTACATTACAGAAGGCAAAATCTAGTCAACTAAGAAAATATATCCCCCACATGTGAAATCTCCTCTAAAATAATAGAAATGCTTTAGATAAACAATACACTACGCTGTTACCCAAGTCCTCAGGATTTAACATGCTATGTGAGTCCATGATGACCTGCAGAAAGGCTGCATGATGGCTTGAGGTCTTGATTGTCCATTATGCTTTCATTCGAGTTGTTTAGGATTTAGGCTTCATTTGGGATTGTTTTTTTGCTGCTTCTTGAAGCAACTTTTTAGTACAAAAATTTTAATTTGTATACTAAAAAGTTGTTTCAAAAAGCAATAAAAAAGTAGTCCCAAACAAAGCATTACTTGACATTTAAATAATAGAATTCTTAGCCAAAATGTTAGAGATCCATGTAAAGAACAGTAAAAAGGGCTTAAAAACTCTTGTTTTAGGAAAAGAAAACCACAATCACTTAATTTTGCAACCGAGTAGTTTGATTTTCTAGTCATTTTCCTTTCAAAAATAATCTGTTCCGCATAAAGCTTGATGTAGTTACCTCACCTAAAATGTGGCATGCCCCATGTTGAGTCAAACGAAAAGTAAGACAGCAAGCAATAAAGGTTACCTCCTATTGGACTTATTAGCTGCAATCACACCCTTCATTAATGAGCGAATATTAACTCCCCGTTCATTCATGATCTTATCATGGTAAATTTTACCACCAACCTCCTTTAGGTCTTCCTCTACCTCCTCCAAAGTTTGATCCACATTTAGTTTTACTTCCCCTTTCCTAATCACAGTAATGCTAAATCCATTGGCTTTAGCTTCCCTGAAAGCATCCTGCACAAATACGATGCAGTAAAAGGAAATGTAAAACAAATATTACAATAATATTAGCACTCACTTATGTAAGTGATCAATAAGAAGTAAACCTGCAGCAAAGAGTTTCAGTGTTCAATGAAATAAATTGAGAGGATATTCTCAGCTAGCAAGGCAAGCTTATTATTCAAGCACACAAAGATTTCTTTTCTATACATCTGGATTGATTCTCCACATATGAAGGCAAAAGCAAGCGTGTTATTTATAGCCCCTTAATTTAAAAGACAACATCGGACATGGAAGCTGTTTTATCATCTGAAGAGAACCAATTATGCTTGTGGGAAATATGCAAAAGTGAAATGTGTTAGGCCGTCCCTAAGGCCGGCTGAACCGGTCCCTAGTGGACCGGTTCACGTCTACAGGCGGAGGCAAACAGGGGGAGGGGCGGAACAAGGAGGGGCCCACTCACTAATTAATCCTTGTTTTGAAGAGAAAAATTCAAATTAGGGGGTTGTTTAGAGATTAAACTTTTATCCTTTTGCTTTAATTAGTCTTTTTGGGTAGGGTTTGTTTTTCATCTTGAATTTGAAATCAGATTTAGGATCTAGGGTTTTCTTTTGGCTCTAGGCTTGGTTAGAGATTTGGAGAGTTGTTTCTCCCTCGCGAATTGAAGAAACTTGTAGCGTTTGTTGTTTTCCTACAACAACTAGTGGAATATTTTGTTTTCTATCAGATTTTCCTCAGTTTTTCCCAAGAAACCTACTGTATTTTTCAGTTTTTCTGCTGTAAACAGCAGTTTTACTCACTGTTTTCACCAATTGTGATTTGGTTTGCTTGCGAACTCAAGTATTTCTCTTAAGGTTACTTGCAAACTCAAGTATTTCCTAACAAACTTCTTCAGTGAAAGTTTCCAATTATCCAAGTCTTCAATAAGCAAACACACCAATGAACAAGGTTTTTTCTTTTTAGCAAAATAAGATGCTTCTCTACTGGAATGGCTACAGATTATCTTTGCGGAAGGATAATGATAAATAGCATCATGAAGCATCATGAACGAAGTAAAAGATTAACAAAATAGCATGCTATTCGGTGGATGGCTAAGACTTACCTTTGGAGGCCGAGCAACAACAAAAGCTTTACCACTTCCCAGCATATCCATCTGAGCTTGCACGATATGGCAGAAGTTCTTAGAGTCTCCTGGATCCTCAAAAGCTATCACATGAAATTGCTTGGGATTAAGCTCAAGATCTTCAGCCATTTCTAAGGAATAAAATCCCACTCTTGGGACATCATCTTCCACTGAATATAGTTCAATGCACTACAACAACAACAACAAAAAATCTAAGGCTGAACAGCAAATAAAGCAGAACAATCAAATAAAGGCAGGCCATAAGAAAGGAAACTTCTCAGCTTACCAAAACAAACTTAAGATCTAACCACCATAGGTAATCTTCCTCCTTTTCAGCAGCATATTCTTTATATTTGCTGACCACTGCTTGTGCTCCGTACTTCTCCACTTCTCTTTTAATTTTGTTCACTTTCTTTTCTATAAATCTCCTCTTTCTTTTAGGTATTCTGGTCATTAGATCAGCCACATCCTTCCTTTCTTTTTCTGTTATCCATCTGTCCAAATCCTTTCCCATATCCTTTAGGATAGATTTCACCTCTGGATCAGTCTCTGAATTATAGACTTCTAGGAAACCTTGAGACCATTTTTTTGTATGTTCCCATTGCTCCTTCAAATTTTTCTTCCCGGGTCTGTTAGAACCATCACTGCATTCTATAAGTGATTTTGGTGCTGTTGAAGTTCCGTTCTGGGACAAAATTACTCTATCATTTACTGGAGAGTTAGGAGAAACACCATCTGAATTTGCTAACTTTTGTGATTTCTGAAGGTTCTCTGGCTTATCCCCCAGAACATCATCCAAAATTCCCATATTGGTAAATTTCTTAAGAAATTCAGGGTCTTCGTCAACAGGTGGCCCTTTCCAACGAGGGATAATTTTGTCCAATGGATCGTCTAAGCTGATGCCATCTGTGTTACAGGAATAATGAAAATTACAAAAAATGACTTTTTGAAAAATGGATAATGATGTAAATAAAAGGAAAGATTCACTGTCATTTGCAAGTCAAATAAAACATTGGAACATTTATAGAGAGGATCCCTGTAATATTACCAGCACCATAGTCTAGATTCTCAATCTTTGAGTGCATCCACTCATGCACTCCTGCCAGTTTTTCATTGGCCTTCTCAGCTTTCCGTTCAAGTCCATGGAAGAAGGCTTTTTGGTCATCAGCATCCATCAAGTGAAATGGATCCCGTCCAGCCAACTCATTCTCTCGAACTTGGAAAACAATTTCTCGAAGATTGTCATCTTTCATCCATTCAAGTTCTTCATCCTCTCCCCACATACTGAGTTTACTTATATCAGAACCTGAAAAGGTGTTTTCTTGTGCCTTTACTTTTGCTAACATGTAGTTATCTTTGAAGCCATGCCCGATCTCGTTAATAACAGAATCGAACTGCTGAAAGTTTTCCTCGATCCAGCTCTTTCCAGAAGATTTAGGTAAATTTTCATCAAGGCAGTTGGAATTACCAGAATTTGAAGGAATACTTTCTTTAGAAGAAAGATCATTCAAAGCATCTTCGGCCTTGGAGACATCACATGATAAATTATCTGCAACTGGATCAAAATGTCCAGATACATTGTGATTCTTTCCTCCTGAAGTGATACAATCATTTGATGGGTTGATAATACCTGCATTGTGTCCCATCTGAAGATCGTCTAAATCAACAACACCATCAACAGTAAGAACTTCTTGTGTGCCTCCCTTTGACTCCCCGTTTTGAAATCTGGTATTCGTTTTTATAATATCTTCAGTCTCAGAAGAAGAATTATTGAATTCATCATAACTTTCATGCAATTTCAAGTCAGAAACAATGTTCCCAAGTGATCTTTGTGGCAGAGAAAAAGCATTTTTATCAGCAGAAATCTCAGGAGCAAATCCTGAAGCTTCAGCAGTCCCCCTCATTCTGTTACCATCAGAACTGTCAGCACAATTACTGAGAACTTCCGATGTCCCTTTCAAATGAATTGGTTGCTCTAGTTGTACTGAGCCTTTATGAATTCTACATTTACTGCTAAGGTATTCTTTGGCTTCCTTAAGTGATGTTATGATTTTTGCTTTGCCGTTTTGATTAGTGGAAATAACAGATGAGCCTTTAATGGTTTGTTTCCCTCTCACACTATTATTATCCACCTTGTTCATGTCAACCTCCTGTTTGTTGCTCAAAGTGACTGTATCAGGAGCTCCAGGATCAGACATATTTGTACCAACAGGCAGCCCCTGGGAATTTTTCAGAATGCTTGTCTCTCGGCCTTCAGTATCAACAACATTATTATCTCTACAAGTGCCAAAATTATTTAAGAGTTCTCCTTTTGAAAAGTCACCCATAGATATAGACATATCTTCACTATGAGTCTTCATTGTGTTGTCTTCTTGGTCTGAATGAGAGCAGGTTTTTTCTTGGTCTGAATGAGAGCAGGTTTTAGCAGGATCATCGCGAAGCACACTTTCTTTTGCAGATTGTGCTTTATGATGAGCAAGATTTTCAACACCTTCTGTTTGAATTTCATTATCAAATATAATGGAAGATAATTCATCTTTCTCATCAATATTATTGTTTGAAGGCTGATTTTTATGTTCCACTTCACGCACTTGTCTCACCATATCTCTAATTTCCCTCACCTTTTTATCAAAATCTTGTTGCTCGGTAGCGAAGAAACCCGAAGGATTTGATAAAACCAAGCTATCTCTAGATTTCTTGGCTTGCATTATGTTCTTCATTAGTTCATCCCTGTCCAATTGTGGCACAGTACCAGATATCACCGGAAACTCATCACTATTCTGAAGAACTTGAACACTTCCCCTCTGTAACCCCTCTCTCTCCATCCTTGACTTCTTCTTTCGCCTGAGCATTTCAAGCTCCTCCCTTGTCGGTTCTGCATCATTATATCCCACAAATAACTTCCTCACTGCCCCCAAAACACAGAAACAGCACAAAACCATGAAACCAATGCGTGGGAAGATCCTTATTAGAGATTCCCTCTGAGAAGAAAAGGCATGGAATAGACCAACCAAAGAAGACTTCTTTCCTTCCTCTACAAACCTAGCAATTGAACTATTTCTAGGCATTTGGTACGCACCAACTTCTATCTCTTTAGCAATAAGCCTTGCTATGGATATCTTGGAATTCACATCCTTCAGTTCGCCACCTTCTTCATTCTCTTCTAAGGACCACGCTCGGATTCTGTGCCTTTTCAAAATTTCATCCTCATTGACAGAAACGTGAGTGACATTACCATCACAACTTTGAAAGATGGTAAAAATAGGGCCAGCCCCAATCCCCCAGAACTCTGAATCTTCATTATATCGACCTACCCAATTATCTAACTTATCCCACAAAGAAGAATTCCCTGAAAATTCAAACTTTTTAGAATCTTCGGCTCTTTCAGATTCCTTTTCAATATCAAAATCTATACCTAAACTACGAGCATCACTTAGATGATCTCTTACGCCCAAATCCTCAGACTTATATTCGGTGCTTGAAACTTCAGGAAAGAGAAGCACCTGTTCTTGCCTGGGAATGAGCTTCTCCCTTAGCGAGTTCCGGCGCCGAGGCGGTCTCCGAAACTGCGAATAAACTTGTATCTTTATCCTTCTTCGATACGCAAAAGAGCCCCAAGAAGGAAGTTTGAGGAATGGAACCGAATAATCCATCAATTTATCTGCAGGCTTCCTACTGAACTGAGTTGGAAAAGTCGAACAACGACTTGGAAAGCAGCCATTGGAGAAGAAAGTAGTGGGTTTGGCAAGTGAAGCGTGAGAAGCGTTCATGCCTAGAAGAAGAAAAACAACGGTGAATTCAATTAGGGTTGGAATGCATTGGTGGTAGAGGCGTAAACGAGAACAGTTAGGGCGAGTTGAAGTTAGGATAAAATTGATGATCTTATTTTGCAAGGTCGGGCTATACGACCTTCCAAAAATAAATCAATAATTAACCATTTGGGATAGTTATTTTAAGGTAGGGTGGAACTCGAAATTGGTCCGGTACTATTCAGGTCAATCCAAATCAGGTCCATTTTTGCAAATGGGTTGATTTTTCTGACCCGAACCCGACCCTCTTCGGGTCCTGGTCAACCCTACCCGACCCGAATAATCCGGTGCCAATAAAAAATAGCGAGTTTTCGGGTCCAAAAACAGGTCAATCTCCGCTTTTCGGATAAAAAACAGGTAAAAAATGGGTCAATCTCGAGTTGCCAGGTCAAAACGGGTTTTCTGATCAAAATAGGTCAATTCGGGTCAAAGGATCAACCCATTCCCAACACGAATTTTGAAACGGGTCGAATTGTTGAACTCGAACAGGACCTGTTTCGGGTTCGGGTTAACCCAAACCCAAAATTTTTGCGTCGAGTTTTCAGGTCGGGTCCAATATTGACACCCCTATTTTAATCCTTGTTGGTATGATACTCAATTCTTCATATATTATTTATTAGCATGGGCACTAGCATAGTAGTCTAAATAGCTAACAACTGACACTGATGATCTTATTTTGCAAGGTCGGGCTATGTGATTTTTCCCTTGAAATTTTCACATTAAAACCCTCGTGTTTATTAAAGTTACTCTTAACTTATTTATCTATATATATGTAAGAGATTTTTGCTCAATGCTAGAACGATAAACTCTCTCTCTCTATATCACTATAAATCTTATTATACATAGTAAATAATTTTAAAGAAAACTCGGCTTTAGATATTCTTCTTAAATGTTAGCTAACGATGTAAGATGTATGATATATGTCATTAAAAATAATCTTGATCGGGCACAAATATCAATGCAAATTTGAATTAAAATTCTTTAAAATTAAATTTAGGACCATTTGAACTCATATTTTAGTAAACCTATAGTAAAACTAAATGTCTCAATGAGACAAGTCTAACAATATCAAAAGTAATATAGTTTGAGTTCAAATGAGCTCAATGAAGCACTTTAAGTATAATTAAAAATTTCATGACAATAGTTAGATGATTAAACAATCTTCAAATCTTGCACGCTTCTACTCAAATTGAACGTATCAATGAGACAAATTCAATGAACCTAAGATTGATTAATTTAATCATCGTTAAGGTTCTTAAATATTGAAAGAATTATCTATAATCAAAGAAATCGACACGAGCCATCTGATGGAGTGCTTCAAATGTTTTTTTTTTAGGCATAACACTCTCTAAAGTTTATAAATAAGCCACCATTGTATACATAACAAGGGGACTTGGAGGGGACCATGGCTTGAGATTCTAGGGAGCTTAGGGGCTCTACGAATCTCAAAGCTCCACATTGGTTAAAATAATATCTTGAAAACAACTTTTATAGCACAAGATTTTTCCAACTTCCATCATAGAATTTATTTTGTATGGTTGTGTTTATTATGTTGTATAAACACTTGTTCCAATCAAGGAAAATTGCATTGTTTGTAACTGATAATAAATACCAGTGGCTAGTTGGGTCAAACCCTTGTTTTTTTCCTTTCCATGCTTTCCACATTAAAACTTAGAAGTCTTTTGTGACACATCTCTTATATGTATGTATGCTAAATTTTTATATGAAGCTAAGGTGTTAAACTCTTTATTTCTCTATAATCACAAATATTCAAGCCTGCAATATTTTGGTGTTATCTATGAAAGGTTGGGGGTAGTCTTTAGTACATGTTGACTGTATAAAAAAAAATTTAGGAAAAAAAAAAAATCAAAGCAACCGACTCTACGCCTCTCTCTCTCTCTCTACATTCAATGTTTTGGGAAAAAAATATTTTTAAAAGAAAACGTGAACCTCCATCATGTTTTTGAAAAAATGCAAAATCTCTTTGCGTTTTCTTCCAAAATGCAGCTTTGCTTCACGTTTTCTGCAAAACGTCGCCCCACTTTACATTTTTTTCATCATTTTTAAATTTAATTTATATTATGATATATCTTTATCCTAAATCTTACATTAAATTTGTTCCTTCTAAAAATTTGCCCTATTTTTAATCAAAGCAGGATTAGGGATCAACTTTTGCTACAACCTCAAAGTGACATTCACTTTAATATGTACGGTACAATTATAGCCATGTAGATCATTCCATCCAATATTATTTGTATATATATTCAATGCAATCATGTTGATAATCATTTTCTTGAAACTTTTAGTAAATATATGAATTTCTTTTAGTTAAACTCCATATAAAGTCCCTAGAAAAACTTTTATTTATTGGGCAAGATCACAATCATAACTTCAAAAGGGTAGTAACTTTTAAAGATAGAAGAGTCTTTACCATCCATTTGAAATACTCTAGGCATTGGCTCCCTCCTAAACAAGGTATAATTAATCCCAAGGAGATTATTCTAGACATTTTCAACACTAGTTAATGTCATTGCATAATGACCTGACAAATATCATTGAATAGGTCAAATATCTTTGATAATTTCTCTTGATCACTTTCACTTAGATTAACATCATCGAGCAATGCTTTAACAAATAATCTCAGATATGTCAAACACTCTTGGTGAATTTCATTCAAGCTTTTTCACATAGGTTAATATTATTGAGCAATAATCTGTCAAATAATTTCGTACAGGACAAACAACCTAGATGAATTTCTCTTGATATTTTCTACTAGAGTTAAATTTTAGGGTGAAACCCTTATACTAATAACATAAAGAAGTCATAAATTTTAAAAGAATTTTTCATGACCCTCCTTATCACAGATAAGGAGCTTGGTTAAATCATTAATAAGACTTTCCACTATCATGGCAGAACATTAATCAAGCTTATGTGTAGACAAAAAATATGCAAGCATCCAAGAAGACTTAGTACCCTTCAGGAGGCAAGTTTTTAGATTATTTGATCACTATACATAAAAGGTTTAGATCTCATTATTTATCATTATTTCCAACCATTTGATTTTAAACATCAACCAAGCTTACATTTTATATGAAGAAGAATAAATTGATGGTTATACATATAAGAAGTCTTATTTAAAGGTCACATGTAAAATCATTGAATATACATGATATTGACACATTATTTATCAATATCATTATAAATTTTATGAAGTCTTCTATAGCTCTCAAACTCTTATCTTAGCTTTCAATTGGCAACCGCTTCTCCTAAGAAGTTTGCTATAGCTTTTAAAAGCATAAAAGATTTTTGCCTTGGCTGCTACACGTCTCAAATGGCACCGATGATATTAAATCCAAAGTCAATGCTTAACATTACCAATGTTGAAACCCAATTTAATATATATGGGCAATCTCTTCTGTTTTGAAGATAGTTTTCAAAAAAGTAAGTTTTTTCCTTTTTCTATGTAACACATTAACATGTTTCCAATGATATTAAAGTCAATGTCAGTGCTTGCATAACTAATATTGGAATTTGTATTTTAATGCAAAGTGTAAAGCATGCCTTATTGGCCTTATTGGCCTCTAAATCTAGTCTATCTGGTAAGGATAGTCAACACTTATTTCAAATGAAGATCGAAACCTTATTATGTAGAATGAAAGTCTTGAATGTCTCCAAGTTTGATATGAAAAATAAGGACAATTAACATTTCTTTCAAAGGAAGCTAGAGATTCGTCATGGGGACTAAAATTCTAGAACTCTCTAGCCAATGCCATTTTTAAGGAAAGATGGAAGCCTCATCATAGAGATTCAAAGCCTTAAATACATCCAAATTTGGTCTGCCCAATGAGGGTATTCAATGCCTCTTTGGAGGGAGGAATATAGGCCTTAGCATAGGAGACCACCTCCAATAATTTTTAAAGTCTTCCTTGAAAGTTTTTCATGCCTTTCATGGGGAAGAAATGGAACCTGCATAAGAGAATCAGACTTTGATCACCTTGACAATCTTTAAATTACTTTTAAATAGTTTTCTTGCCTTTCTTAAGGGAGAACTGGTGCATGTGTAAGAGAACTGTGTATTACTCTCCTCTGATGGTCTTTAAACTTTTATCAAATAATTTTTCTTTTCATTCACTAGGGACAATTGGAGCCTACAAAAGCGAGCTAAGCATTGATTGCCTATAATGCTCTTTAAGCTCTTGTTAGGTAATTTTTTTCCTCCTTTCACTTGACAAGCTGGAGCCTACAGCGGATGACTATGCCTCTCCCCTAGCCTTAGAGGACTTACATTCAATTTTTTTAAAAAAAGTGCTTGCCACCCCTCACTAGGCATGGAATCTATACGCCCTTAGGTTAGCAACCTCAAATAAAAAATTAATCTAAATCAAATTATCAAAAAATAATACCAACAAAAAATGGAGAAAAAGGATCTTGAGTAGCTCTCTGTGCCCCCATAGAACACTGCTCTATGGGTGCCCACGGCTTTGGTAATGCCTATGGTAGGTGGAGAATGGCCGACAAGTCTTACTACTTACGTGTTTTCTAGCTCAATTTTTAGCTTAAACAATTCAATTCAAATATTTTTTAGTCCTATTAATCATTTTTTTTTAAATTTGGACTCAATTTTGATATTTCTAGGGCCCTATAGTGCAATTTTATATGATTTGGAGTGAAATTTTTTTAGTAATTTTGCTTTGATTAATGCATCAACTTTATGTAAAGCTAAAATTATAATAAAGAATATTTTACTTAGTTTATGACTTTAAGAGATGGTACATATTAATGTTGAGAGACTAGTTGGGCATTATAGCTTTTCCAAAATAATAATTTTTCATCTCAATTTTTTTTTAAAAGATTAAACATATATTTGAATGGCACAAGCTTCAAAATTCAAAAATAAGGGCAATTGATATGTCATCGAAAATCATATTGATTGGTCATGAACCTCAATATGCATATTTGAATTAAAAACTTCCAAAACTAAATTTCGAGACCATTTAAACTTTAAATTTAGCAATTTTAAATCGAATTGAATGCCTCAATGAGTTGAACCCAACAATGCCAAAGTTAATGAATCCAAGTCTAAATGAGCCTATATTAAGATTAGACAATTAAAGTATAATTGAAAACTTGAATACATCAATTGGATGAGCAAATAATTTCCAAAGCTTACACAATTATAGTCATATCGAGTGTCTAAATAAGATGAATCTAATGAAATGAGATAAGATTGATTAATTTTAAAGTTATAAAGGCACCTAAATATTGAGAGAGTCAATACTAACCATCCGATAGAGTGTTTCAAATTTTTTTTCAAAATTTATAAGGCATGACACTCTAAAAAATTTATACTAGATCCCCACTATCTATATGAGAGGGGACATGAAGTAGACCACAATCGGAGATTCAAGATAGTTTGGAGGCACAAAGAATTTTGAAGCTCAACTTGAGCACCACTATCAAGCCATAATCCAACTATTATTATCAAACCATCATCATAAAACCACTGCTCAACATAGCCATCAGACCACCATTAGATAGACACCATTGGACACAGTTTGATTGTCGTTGTCAGGTTGAACCTCGTCACCATCGAACTACTATCCTTTGACCATCATCGTCTTAATATAGTCCTCTAACCATGATTACTTGATTATCAGATTCTGACAACCATCTCTCGATGACTATTATTGACTATGATCCTCCAACCACCGTTAATCGGCTACAATACTTTGATCGTTGTTGCCTGACTGGGATCCTCTAACACTGTCACTAATTATGGTCCTTTGAATATCATCACACAACTACAGTCCTTTGACCTCCATCGATCAATTACGGTCCTCTGACCAATGTTGCCCGATTATGGTCATTTGATGAATGTTGCAGGAATATGATTCTCACACTAGAATCATCCAACTATAATCCTCTAATCAATATTGCATGATTACAGTAACCACATTGCCTAACTATAATCCCTTGATCACTATTGCCCAATTACAATCCTCTAAACTATATCGCCAAATTATGATCCTTCTAATTATTATCACCAGACTACTAATATCACATGATTATAGTCCTTTGACCAATGACTCACGACAACTATATTTCTTCAACCAATGTCGCTTGACTACGATCTCTGATTTCCATATATTGATTATAGTCCTTCGACCTCTGTTACCCGACTAATATCCTTTGACTACCATTGCTCAACTACGACCCTTCTACCAATGTCATCTGATTACGATCCCCCAACCTATAGTTCTTCGAGCATTATCACCTGGTTACATATACGCATGCCAACTTCATTACTAATGTCAACACATGATATCACTTATAAGATCGATGCATTCTATTGACATCAACTCTAACTCTCAACATTAACGTTGTGATTTATGTTGAATTTATTGGTCATTGGTCTATCCTCCTTAAAGAAGTACGACCAAATATGTTGTAAATGATTTCTTGAATATAACTCTTATGCGACAATAACTTTTCGACTTCCACCATAAAATTTGTTCTATACAATGTCTATATATTATATTATTTTAACATCTTTTTTCAATTATGAAAAAATGTATCATTTGTAACTGATAATAAAAACTAGTGGAATCATTTTAGTTGGATCAGACCCCTTTTACTATGTGTGTGTCATAAAATAGAAAACTATTATTTATAAAATAATGTCTTAGCTCATGAATTATATTGGCGGAGAATCTTTGAAGCTAAAGTTTCTTCACAATGATAAAAATTCCCCATCTCATACATATGCAATCACACAACACCATTTCTTTGTTTAATTTGAAGTGGATTAGAGGGAATCATTGAAAACCTCAGTCATTTATTGATTATTAATGAACACAGACTTATGAAATGATATCACTGGTTTTAACAATTCAATTTTTATGTTATACTCTTCTATGAATAAGAGATATTTGCTCATGTTTTATGAATTGTTTGTTTAAAGTGTTCATGAACGAGCTTATTTATAAGGAAAATCATTCTCTAAGCTTGCTAGTTTGTGAACGGGCTCGTTTGGTAGCTCGAAAATGCTTGATAGATTTGTTTGTGAATGAGCTCATTTGAAAGCTCGAAAAAACTCGCTAGATATATTTACAAGCAGACTTTATGGTAGTTATTTTTAGTATGCTCATCTGTTAAGTTGAAGAACATCTAGAAAGTAAAGCTCTTTAATAACTCGATAAGGCTCATTTGTTTAAAGCTCGATAAGCACGAAATGAACTGAACACAAATCAAATTTGAACATCAATCATTTTAAGCAAATTGCTCTTGAACACAAACAAAAAACTCAAATCAAGTTTGAACTAACCTTGGACAAGGTAATCATAACTGAGCTCAATATGAAACCTGCTCAGCTTAACTTGGCTCATTTACACCCCTACTAGCATGTCCAACATTGATTCAAATTGATTTGAATATTTTTTAAGCATTGGTTTGATTTTTTCGACTTTTGTTTCTCCTTCAAAAAAGGCAATCCCATCAATGCCCTCTTTTAACAAGCTCGTGTGTACTGCTCTTCTCCTTCACACAAGTTATTCCTATTGATATATGTCCCCACTGATACTCATAATGAACTCATCTTCTCTTTCACAAATTGTCAGTTCATCAATGTTCGTCTCAAATAATCCCATCGTAAACTCTTTCTTATTCACACGTGCCCAATACATCGAAACCTCGAAACCTGCCTCCTTCAAACACTTCCAATATGTCGACACTTTCATCTATTAGTTCTCAACACAAACTCCAGCGCAATCCCATACATTTCGATGTCTTGCGAGGGTTATAATTTAATGCTTGAAAGACGATTGTTCGAATGCCGACTTCAAACAAAGGGTCAGATGACTTCAATGTAATTGCTAAAATTGAAATTATTATTAAACTTTTAATATAAATTTTCACTTATATCAAATTTATTTTAAAACTTAAATTTTAAAAAATAAAATTTTGATGGAAGAATTGAAGAATGCTATTTTTAGGTCATAAGTTTGGCCATACCCTCATCCATCTAATTAATATTTATATTAGCCTCAATTAATTTCTAGTTGATTTCTTACTTTCAAGTTGGTTAAAAATGATTAATTCAGCTAATATAAATATCGATGTATCAATTAATAATTCAAAAATAAAGTCAAATGTGCAGATCGATAATTAAAAAAAAGTAAATAAAAAGGAGAGATATGTCAAAATAAGAACATTAATATGAAATCTGTTACATATTAAAATAAAATACCTCTGACATTAATATGATATTCATATTATTATTTTTCATATTTAAATAAGAAATAATTATACTTGGAGAAGACATTATGATACAGCTCGAATGTCATCATAAAACAAGAAGATTTCCTCCCAAAGTTCTTTGTTTTTTAAGTTTTATTATTGAGGAAAATTTTACCTGTCAAGAACAAATAAGCAGTACTCAGACTGTTAAAAACTCTAACTTTCTGCCATTTGCAAAGCCCAAATCGTCTTCAAGAACAAATAAGCAGTAATCAGACTGTTAAAAGCTCTAACTTTCTGCCATTTGCAAATCCCAAATCATCTAAATATTCACTCGAAACCAAAGCCGCGATCTTCTCGATCTTTTCATTGGAACTTCTGAGTCAATTAAGACAAATTCATATACAAGCCGAATCCAAAACTACTTAATTGATAGCCAAAGCTCCCAATCAATAGACCAAAATAAACTAAATCTTTTCGATCTTTCAAATGCAATCATCATCACTTACTGAAGAAAGTTTTCTGGACCAACTGCCACTTTTCCCTCCACTCTTCTGCTCAAGACAAACATTAGTAATCTGGATTTCTTTTGTCACAGCCTTGCACATATCATACACAGTGAGCCCAGCAACAGCAACTGCAGTCATGGCTTCCATCTCGACCCCAGTTTTCGATGTCGTCGCCGCTTCTCCGACAATCTCCACACTGAAATCCTCTTTGTTCAAAACGAAATTGAGATCCACTCGGGTGAGATTTATGTTATGGCACAAAGGGATGAGGTTGCTGGTCTGCTTAGCTCCTTGGATTCCTGCAATCTTTGCCACATTCAATACATCACCTTTCACAATCTGGTTTGCTTCCACTAGGTTGAATGCGAGCTTCCCCAAGAGGACTCTGCAACTGGCTATGGCGCTTCGCTTAGTATCTTCCTTTGAGGATATATCAACCATCAAAGCGTTTCCGCTATTGTCAACATGAGACAGACCTTTCTTGCATTCAGGAAGGACTGGATAGTCTGGAGCTGTTGATGTATTAATGGCGCTGGTTGAAGGAAGCTCACCATGTATGCTACTTTGTGTAGGAGGCTCTCCAAAAATGGACTCCATTTCCTGAAATGTGGGAACAATCAGATTTGCCGAGGGCTGTCTAATTTGATTTCTTAAACATAATAAAATGTAAAAATAACATAAATTCATAACTAGTTTCGAGACTTTTCAATCTTTTCACAAATGTAGACGAATTCAAATTATTGAATTAATGACACTGCAATAATGTAACAATGAATTATTAAAAACATTGTACCAAAAAAAAATCATAAAAACTGCTTCGAGTTTACTTATTTTTAATATAAAGTTCATAAATGTTTACCTAATTTTATGCTTATCATATGATAATTAACATGTAATAGATAGATTGCCATTAAAAAAAGATACATGCTAGCTGTTACAGACAACTCAAAAGAGTTGGATAGCTTGGGTTTTTGTCCTCTAACAATGCAATCTATTCTTCTTCTTCTTCAGTTCTTTAACTTTACATCAGAAATAAAAAAAGTATCTAAACACATAAGAATATTTATGTGTGAAAATATAAATATGAAGATAATTATTCAATTATTCTACACTTATAAACAATAAGCCTCACATTGAAAATTCCACAGATTAACCTCGAGTTTTACTAATGCTTGTAATTAAACTAATGATAGGGGGTGAACATCAATTGTATTCCTATTAACACTAATTCTGTGAAAAAAAAAAGACGAAAGCCGAAGCTCCCATGCTTTTTTTTTTTTCCTTTTAGATCTGAGATGGAGTTGTGGAGAGACACGCCGAGAGAGAGAGAGAGAGAGACCTGTCGGCTGCCGTGAAGGTGAAGTATGCTCGAGGAAGAGGAGATGCCAGCGTGTCGTGCAACATATGTGAAAGAAGCGCGAGGGTTTGATGGAGACAGAAGAAAGAAAAAACAATCTAAAGTTATTAATTTGCTTTATCATAAATAGACTTAATTAGGCCTTAATTAAGAAGCCAGAGGGGGATCATGCTAAATCCACCCCTGCATAAGTTGGCTCGCTTCCAAAGGAACCCTTTCACTAATATTGCATTCTTAAAATGATTTGTAGAATAATTGCTATTGGCGCGCAACCCAATTGTACACACTATCGAGACTCTAGGACAAACACCACCAATGACATACCCAACATATAGGAGGTTAAGCCCTTGGGTGATGATTTCATGCTATCTCATGGTGCAAGCTTTATTGAGGAGATACGTGATGCGTCTTGGTATAAAAAACAATAACAAACTCCAAGAGATTCAATACAAAAAACTGATTTTTATTGATTAAAAATCAAATACGAACAGAGCAAGATACAATGGTCCTCTTTCAAGAGGAAGACCTTCTCTCCCAAACCCTAGACACCGCTCATATCCCTCACAAAAAAAAAAATAACACAGCACTCTCAAATCAAAATTCTCTATACAAACATAACATAAATTATACTACTTATAACAAACAATAAAACAACCCTCCCCCAATTTTCTCTCAAATCAGACCCTAAATCAACCCCCAAATCAATCTTCTTCAATTAGGAAATATCTCCTAATCAATCTCCTTCAATTCAACCCCCAAATCTACCCTATTTAATTAAAAAATATCTCATAATTAATCTCTACCAATTCAACCACCAAATCTGTCCTTTTTAATTAGGAAACATCTCCTAATTAAACCCTTTTTATTTCCTGTTCTCACATGAAATGATAGGTTTAATGGGCCCCATAAGGGGGCCGGAATCCCTTGCCCTTCCCTTCCCAACCCTGGCATGATGTCCTCTCCTGTATCAATACTCCCCTCCCCAAAATGCACATTGTCCTCAAGGTGAAAGCTAAGGAACTATCTTCTGATTGCCTCGTATGGCTCCCATGTGACATCATGCTCTGGCAGATCTTTCCATTTGATTAGCACCTCCTGTGACCCTTTATCCCCTCTATGCACACCCGCTACTTCCAGGGGTTCTAAAATGACCTCCATATCCTCTGTTAAAGTCGCGGGTAGAGATGATGATGTATGCTCTCGCCTTCCTCAACTATGAGACATGAAAGATTGAGTGCAAAACTGATGAAGGTGGTAGCCTCAGTCAATAGGCTATAGCTCCAATACACTCCACGATGTCATAAAGCCTAAAGTACGCGAGAATAAATTCTCATTACTCCTGGCTAGGGGTTTGTGTTTGTAGGGCCTCAATTTTAAGTAAATCATATCTTCTAGCTCGAAATTTAGTTCTTTCCAGTGCTCATCAGCCTTCCTTTTCATGATATGTTGGGCTCTGAGCAAATGTCCCTTTAGCTCAGATAATACCATGTCCCTCTCCTCAAAGTATTGCTCGACGCTGGACACGGGTGTAGCGCTCTGTCCATAATGAATCATATGGGGTGGATCTCTCTCCTATAGAATCCTTAAAGGAGGGGTATTTAATACTGAATGGTATGAGGTGTTGTTTACCCACACAATCCACCTTGCCCAAGTATTCGACGTGTATAATACAAAGCATCTCAAATAGGTCTCTATGCCTCTGTTGACCACTAATGTCTGACCATATGTCTGTGGATGGTATGTTGTGCTTCTCTTCAGGACTGTCCCCTACAAATGAAACAACTCCTTCCAAAAGTGACTAAGGAACACCTTATCCCTATATGACCCAATGGATTCAGAAAATCCATGCAAGCGTACCACCTCTCGTATAAAAATAGTAGCCACAAAGACTGCATTATAAGGGTGCTTTAGAGGGATAAAGTGTGCATACTTACTCAGACGATCCACTCTACCAGTATCATTGAAAATACCTTCAAAAGCAACAACCCCTCAATAAAATCCATCGTCACTTCCATCCCACACCCTCTTCGATAGGGCTAGAGGCTATAGTAATCACGTTGGTGCCATGGCTAAGTACTTATACCTTTAACACACATCATATATGGCTATCCAATCCTCTACATCATGACGCATCCCCACCTAGTACGGTAGAACGAATCTCTCCTGATGTACCAGCTGGACTCCTCTCAACGTGTAACCATGATGACTATACAGGTCCTGTAACAAATCGGATCTGATCTTCCTCAGTCCTTCATAATGTTCACTCTCCTATTTCAAAGCTTCCTAATTTAGGATCATGGGACTGACAAAGATGCTAACTAAGGCTCTTTGCCTTTCCGATATAAGGCGTATGTTGTGTCTTGTTTTCTAAGCCCGGTCGATACTATATCTCCAAGTCATATCCAAGCAACTTGGATAACAACCGTTAATGCTCCTCCGTGACCATACATTGTTCAAACAAATACTTTAAGCTCCTCTGATCTGTCAAAAATAAGAAATGTCTCTCCAATAAATAGGGCCGCCATTTTTTAATAGTCAATATAATAACTATCAACTTCCTCTTCTACATAGACTTGAGTCTTGCCTTGACTATGAGCACATGACTGAAATAAGCGATAGGTCATTGATCTTGCATGAGCACTGCCCCCAATCCATATCCTGACACATCCACCTCCACCACAAATGGCGTGCTGAAATCAGGAAGTGCTAATACTGGTACACTGGTCATCGCCTTCTTCAGTTGCTCGAAAGCCTATGTAGCTGCCTCCCCCTCTAAAATTATCCTTTTCAGCTGCTCAGTCAATTGCTATGCTATTGTGTAATACCCTCGCACAAACTTTCGGTAGTACCCGGTGAGGCCTACAAACCCTTTCAACCCCCTCAGGTTCTTAGGTAAAGGCCAATCCAACATAGCCTCAATTTTGGATTGGCTGCTGCTACCCTGCATTCCTCACCACAGGTCACAGGTACTCCACCTGTGATTGTGCAAATTCAACATTTCTTCAGGTTGGCATATAGAGACCCATATGCTCTGCCTTCGTACGACTGTAGATCAAAATGTCATAAAAAAATACCAAGACAAACTTTCTGAGGTAGGACTGAAAAACCCAATTCATGAGAGTCTGAAAAGTGGTTGGGGCATTGGTGAGGCCGAAAGGCATCACCAAAAACTCGTAGTAACCGTCATGAGTCCTGAAAGCTATCTTGTGTGCATCCCTTGACTTCATTTTGATCTGATGGTATCCTTACTTCAAGTCAATTTTTAAGAAAATGGTCGCTCCAAACAACTCATCCAATAACTCATCGATTGCAGGGATATAAAACTTTTCCAACACAGTTTCCTGGTTCAAGGCCCACTAAACCACGCAAAACCTCCAACTTCCATCTTTCTTTCTAACTAGTAGCATGGGGCAAGGTCTTACACTAGGCCTGATAATTCCTACTTCAAGCATCTCTCTAATGAGCTTATCAATCTCATCCTTCTGAATCTGTAGGTATCAATATGATCTGACGCTGATAAGCAATGCTCCCTCCTTCAAGGTAATGGAGTACTCGTGCTCCCGGGGTGGCGGTAACCCGTCAAGCTGCTAAAAGACCTCATAAAATTGTTGTAAAAGTTGTTGTACACAATCAAGGACTTCCATCGGCTCTCAATCTCGAAACTCCTCTAGGCTCTGCAGCTCTACCAAGTAGCACAGCCCTACTCCCTGTATCGCTTTGACCATGGTTTTGAGTGAAACCATGGTTTTGCACAAATTCTCATCTCCCCACAACATCGCCTTTTTTCACCTCTACCTAAATCTCCATAGTTAGAGATTTCCAATCCATCTTCATTTCCCTGATCATTAGTAACCACTCATCCTTAAGATCACATAAGTGCTCCCCAAATCCAAGGGAAGAAAATCCTCCACTGTCTGTATACCTTAGAGTTTTAGCACCAACCTCCTGCAAATCCCCCTACTCCTCTCTATCATTTCCATTCCCATCATGACTCCAAAGCTCTGTGTATAAACCAACTTCAATCCTAGCTGGTCCACGATCCGGTTGTAGATGAAGTTATGAGTAGCCCCGCTATCCATCAAGACCACCACTGGCTACTCCCCGATCTATTCCCTCACCTTCATTGTGTGATTTGGAGTAAATCCCATCATAGAATTTAGGGACACTTTCACCACATCAGGTTGCAGATGTTCTCTTCCTTCTTCTGCTTCCTCTACCTGGTCCTCGCTGTCAGTCTCTTCCTCCTCGCAAACTAAAGGACCTGGAGTGTGCGATCCTTGCATCGATGGTCTGGTGTATACTTCTCATCACAGTAAAAACACAGACCTTTCGCTCTCTTGTCTTGCGCCTTTGCCTCTATGAGGCGCCTGAAATTGGCCCTGGGATGAACTCCCCCACTCTTCTGCTTTGTTGCCTCTTGCTGAAATGATACCGTCTAGGTCCTTGGCGCCAATGAAGTTGAGGTACTTCAGTAAGAGCTTCCCGCAACCCCGATCTTACCGCTTCTCTTCATCTGTCTTCAATCCTCTGTTTTCTGTGCTAACTCCATCATCTTTTTCAACCCCCTCGACCTAAGCAATCGAAGGTCCACTCGTATGTCAAGCTTGAGGCCCTTCATAAAATTTTCCTCCAATACTAACTCCAAAATTCCCCTCAACCTCCCTGACAACAACTCAAACCTCTCCATGTACTCCATGACAATCCCTTCATGTGTCAAGGCAAGGAATTGCTCATGTAGGTTTCCTTCCCGAATGACTCAAAAACGTTCCAACAAGCAATCCTTAAACTCCTCATATGAACGGATCGGGTATAGTCTTTCTCCACTGGAACCAAGCAAGAGCTTTCCCCTCCAAACATAACCCTGTGGCTATAAGCTTCTCCTCCTCTCTTACCTCATTCAATGCAAAATACCTCTCCACCTGATATACCCACCCATGGGCATCCTCCACTCGAGGGAATTAAGAAGCTGGTCCATCAATACTATAAGTCAAGTGCTTCAGTAGCAGTTTTGTTCGTTCCACCTTAAGGACAAGGTGACACTTTGGAAGGGGAGTATTAATGGACCAGCTGATTTGATTGGGAGGGAATTAAGAAGTTTTCTAATCAAGAGAGAGATGTTTACAAAAGTTCTTAATCAAAAGGAATTAAGAACATATTTGAGGGTGATTTCAAGGGGATTAATTGGGAAATATTTATTAATTAAAGAGGGAAAATTTGAGGGGTGATTTGGGGGCTGATTTTGAGGGCTAACTAATTAGAAGATGTTGCCTAATTGAAGAGAGCAGATATGGAAGACAGATTTGGAGGGGAAATAATTAAGGAAATAGGACAGATTTGGGAGGGAATTTAGGGAAGGCTGTTTGGGTATTTGTTGTTTATTATTTATTTTAAGTAGGAGATTTTCCTATGTTTAGGGGTTGGTCTTGTTTGCTGAAATTGTAGTTGTTAGGGTGCTTTGGGCTCTAGCGGCATCTATAGATTTGGGAGAGTCGGATCTTCACCGGATCTTCCTCTCCAATTGAAGATCCAACTGTATCTTGTCTTTTCCTTCATAAATAATCCAATAAAAAGTGTTATTGAGTGTTATTCTTCTTCGTTTACTTGTTATCGATTTTTGTTTTGCGGAAAATATAAATTCAGCCAAATAATTTTATAAGTTCTGCATCTACTTCCTATTAGTATTCAAAACAAATGGGGTATGACAAAACATTTGTTCACAAACACAAGTGTGTCCAATCTAACCACAAATAGAGGACTCAAATCTTCTAGCAAAATAAATAAAAAAAAGCTCATCATATATTGTAGATGTGCAAGAATCACACAAAGATATGAATCTTGCAAGAAGATTTCCATTTGGATGTTCTAGTTAATTGTCTAACACACAATTCGTGACAAATAAGCAAGAAGTTCATGAGCTATATGCATTTCAAAGTTATGGTTGCTCCACATCTAAAAATAATAATTTCTCTCCTTTAAATAAGCTAACTTCCTAGGATCACCACCTCCTTACACTTTTACTTTTAACTAAAGAAAAAATCATGCTGCCTTAAATCACTAGGTAAGGATGTGTTGTGAGATTACTTAGTGCATGCAACTTTCAGCATAAGCCAATCAATCGACTACCGCCGCTCAACATTCATGTTAAAACATATAGAATGTAATAATTTAGACCCTATGCAACGATCTACACTGTCAAGAGCAACTACTTAATAAGCACGAGATGAGACCGTAATATGAAGACAAACTTAATAAGAACAAATGGTTATGGCACATGCTTATATGTGTGCTTAATAAATAAAAGTAATATCACTCATATCCAAAATAAGTTAAAATCAAGCACTAGGTTAGGGCTTTGCTAGGATTTTTCATCTCTTAGTGGCATTTTTTCCCTTCTCCCCAAGTCACTACTGCATCTACCATCATGTTTGATGTCTTTTGATGACTTGAATCCATTTTTGGACCTTCATTCTCTAAGTTAGTGCCTATGGCGTCTCCTTAGATGATTCCTCAAATCTACCCATCTTAAAGTGAATTGTAAGCATTTCAACAAACTTTTTTCTCCTCAACGACTATGTTTGTGAAGAGATACACAAGCAACCAATCTTGTTGATCGATCTGATATGTCTTTTAGCAAAAACCCTTAGCTTTATCAGTTGGTGCCAGAATCATTTAAAAGGCTTTTAGGATAACTATCCTTCCTTCTCTATTAGGATAAAAAATCTTCTACCCACAAAGGCAAATCTTCCAATAGAAAGATTAATATTCTTGTTAAGCCAATAGAGCTTCCACCATTTACTAAATTTGCTTTAGGATGTCTTAAGCTTGAAGGTATCAAGCAGTTCTTCGTTGAGGTTGGCTTTTTTGACCATGCAAATATTGGTCTTTTATTTTATAAACAAAACCTTAGTTAGGTTGATATGGAAGAGGATTGCATGGACTTTTATCACATAGATCATATCAGGTGTTTGATTTTACCATGCATTTATTAAAATGGCCCCCCATAAAATAAAAGAGCCCCCCAATTGCCCCCATTTGAATTATATTTCCTCACATTCTCATACTCTTTATTAGGCTTGAATTTATCTACTCTATTGGGATATCTTTTGAAAGTCTTTATTTGTGGATGCGGCTATGACTAAGCTTCCTAGACCTTCTAAAGCTCCCTGCTCCTATGCATGGGGGCTGATTCCAATCCTACGTACTTTGTTGTGGAACTTCATGACCATCCAAAGTTCTTGCATGTTTTCCCTACTTCTTTAAGTAATTTTAGTTGTCTTATTATAGGTGATGATTCTAGCATAAGGACAAGGTAACCCATCTCTACTAATCGTATCATTAATATTTTGATCACTTCTCTCATCATCTATCATCTTAAGCACTTTTTAGAGAGGTTCCTTTTGTTACTATTGGGGTCGATTTGATTGGCTAAAAATAATGAACATGATAAGGGAGCTAGTTTATTAGCTATTGATGGGGCCTCCGATGCTTGGATTAATTGTAACTAGAATGACGGCCAAGAAGACTTCATTTACTATAAGCAAGTATAAATGCTATCTTAAGATGCCTAAAAATGAAAAGGCCATCCTCCAGAATTCGATGAAGTGACCATTGATTATGGATTTCGTTTTAGCTTTTTGATTACTTTGTATGGACTCTAGAATTGCTTTGTTTTGGTGCTACGGTTAATTTTGACTTATACTATTTGAGGTTTGTAAATATCACCTTTATCTAGATAATGATCTCTAATCTCTATATGGTGATTATGTTGGTTGCATTTTTATGTTTTGCAACTATATGGCATTTATGGCTTTTGTTCTTTTTGGAGGATTGCTTGTTTTGAATTAGAATTCATTACTATTTGATAGCGCATTGGATTATTTTTCTCTCATCATTACAACTATTGTCTCCATCGAGTTAGCATTTTGGATGTTATAAGGGTTTATTATTTTATTGTGTAATCTCTAGAATCATATTTTAGCACTTTAACTTTGATGAAATGATTCTTATCCTAGTTGAGCTATTCATTCACTGTGGATCTATTTTGTTGGTGCTATATTCATGCTTGGAAATCATTAATGCTTGATGTCCTTTGCTTATGGTTATTATATGTTGGATGTTCATTGATCAACCTCTTTTGGGTGCTTATAATCTTGGCCAGAGGTGGAACTAAGAAAAGCTAAGGGTTAATAATTGCCCATCATGAATTTTTTTTCCTGAAAAAATAAACATTTTTACTATTTTGATCATCTTATATAAATGCAGTTGCCTAAATTCTAAGAAAAAAAAATCTTTTATATTTCATATATAAGATTATGCATTTCATAATTCTATTTTTTCCACACTAAAAAAAATGGCTAACTCCACCACTGATCTTGGCATGCACACTGCACACTTAGAGGAAACAAACCAGTTCTGATGAGTGAATTAAAGCACAAAAGTAGAAACATATTTATAATTAGTCAGTGGAAATACTCAAAGTAGAAACATAAAGCAGGAAATCCCAGTAACAAAAGGGAAGAGTAATAAATTATAAATTTTTAACAAAATTCTAGTGGGAATAACCAAAAGCAGAAACTATTTACCCTATTCAGATCCGCAATTGCGAGGTCCAATTTACTGCTACTGCTACTCAGGAACCTTCTAGAAGAACAACCTGCCCTAATTTGTCTAAGAAAAATCATTGCCATGCTAAACTTCAAGATGACAGATTTATAGGTAGCAATGAGAAGTTCTGCAAAAGAAATTATGGATTTAACAGCGCTTGTTAATAAAAAGAGAGAGAAATTAGTGAAATCCCATCACAACCAAGACCAAAGTTGATCAGATAAACATAAAACACAGGCAAAAGAAATAAGTCCGCTCTCCCGAGCAGCGGCAAATGAATTACGCCTTGATTAATATTTTAATCCATGCCCCAAGTTGCAAATATTTTTCTCCAACAGAGTTCCCACCCATCATTTTAGGCAAGATTTGGATCTTACAAAAGAAATTGCCCCCTCATTCATATTACAAGGAAGATGACTGCAAACAGAGCATCCGCCATAGCAAAACCTAAGCTATAATCATGCAAAGAAGAAAAGGAGATGGAAGATAAGTATTTTTTACTTCGCCTTTTGAGATTACAGGAGGCCGATAGGAGACGGGTAAGGAAAGCGAAGTCTGGTGCTTCTGCTCGACATTGTGGTGCTTCTGCGGCCCATCAAGTGGCAGGCCTGCGCGATCGTGAAGCACCTTCCCTTTGCCTTATTATAAATTTATAAAGAGGAATGCCATAGTTCAAAAATAAGAAAATAATAATAATAATAATAATTCTCTTAACAATTCTTACTCATGTTCCACTTACCATAAATAAATTAAAATTATGAGTTTATTTGGGGCAATTTTCTTGCTGTTTTTTTTAAATAAATTTTATTTCAAAATTTTTTAATTTAAAATTTTTTTATACTAAATAACTATTTTAATAAGCACCGAAAAAGTCATCCCAAACAATCTATATTTGTATGACTCTAACTGTTAGATTACTATGCCGTGTCAGAAATTTATATTGATAGAATGATAATTTTATATTTCAGTTTTGAATTAAAATATTATACACATTGATAAGAGAGAGGGACATAGAGAGACATCAGAGATTTTAAGTGAAAATTTTCAAAAGAAAAAAAAGCCAAAAGGGATAATTATGAGAAAATGATAATGTAAATAAAGTTACAAATCCCCCCTCTTTCTCTCAATTAGAGAAAATTTGATTATAAAATAATAAACTCAAATTTGATCTTATGTAATTATAGTAGAGTTTACTAGAAATGAAGATAATGATCAAATGATTTAGTTAGGTGATGACGGCTGGATGATAACAATCAGACAACAATTGTTGGATGATAGTCGAGTGATGGAGGTCAGACAATCGGTGTTGAATGACGGCAGACGAACGACAATGGCAAGGCAATGATGCATCAAAAGATGATGGTCAAGCAATGGCTATTGGATGACACTGGTAGGTGGCATTGGACTTCAGCGTCGAATGTTAGGTAAAAGCTCTAGAGTTCTTGAGATCTCAAAGCTCTTACCAAACTCAAGTCAAGGTCCATCTCATATGAGGAATGGTGGTTTTTTAATATTATTTTTGGAGTTTCATTTTAATAAATCTAACAAAATTTTCATAAACTCCATCGGCAACTCATAATGAATATATTGATTATAGGCAAATCATTTAGCATTTAAGTGCCTTAGAAACCTTAGAATCATGTGTTGTTGAGCTCAATGGATTTGTCTAAATTAGATACTCAATTTAACTATATGTATGCAATATTTAAATATTTATTTATCCTTCAAATAATATCCTAAAATTTTTAATCATACTTTAAGTGCTTAATATAAGTTTCATTTGAAACAAATTTTTTGCTACTTTCTAAAATAACTTTCTAGCATGGTAAATATTTTGTTCAGTAAATCTTTGTACTAAAAAATGGGACGGCTTTCTTACTACTTTTAAAAGTAACTTTTTAACACAAAAATTCAATAAAAGCAACAAACAAAGTAATGGCCAAAAGTTGCCCTAAACGAAGTCTTAGCCTCATTTGGACTCATATTAGATAACCTTTGTTGAATTTGTTAAGTGATTTTTTTTTAATTCATATTGATTAAGTGATTTTTTTTTTAGATACATAATTTTCCACTCTATTTTGGATATCAATGTCCATGCAATCAAAATATATATATTCAATCTTCAAAAAATATATGATTTATGTGTCATTAAAAAAAATCAAAAGCTTTCAAAATTAAATTCGGGACAATCTGAACTTCAATTTTAGTAAATTTATTGTTAAACTGAACATCTCAAAACGATAAACTCAATGACACCAAAATCGATCCAATCTGAACACAAATGGGTCCAAATTGAAGGCTCTAAGGGTCAAAGCATAAATTGGATGACCAAGTGATATCTAAATATAGCATACTTACAGTTGAATCGAGTCGCTTGACGAGACAAATCCAACGAACCTAAGATCACCGAATTTTGACATTATTAAGTCACTCAAATACTCGATAAATGAACTATAATCGAGGGAGTTGATATCAGACATCTATCGAAACAATGCAAACATGCTCTTTATCTTCTCCCTGTTTACTAGACATGTCACTCCAAAACAACTATAAATAGACCCCTCATTTCTTCACAAAAAGAGGGGGAAGAGGAGGAAGAGATACAAAAAAAAAAAGAATCTCTCTTGCTTTCTCAAGCTTGCACCGCCCATCTACCTACTGCCGCTAGACTTCCACCTGGCCACTGACCGCCGATCGCTATCGGACTTTCCTCTAACCACCATTGCCAGACTATGGTCCTTCCAAACACCTTCACTCAACTACGGTCCTTCTAACCACATGATATCGCCTAACAACGGTCCTTTCAACTTCCTTTACCCGCCAACTACGATCCTTCTGACCATCCTCGCATGACTATATTCCTTCCGACCTTTGTCGCCTGCCAATTTTGGTCCCTCCGACTTCCTCCGCCTGCCAAATATGGTCCATGTGACCTTTTTCTCCTGTCAACTACGGTCCCTTCAACAACCTGAGCACGACTAAAACGAGGTTGTTCCTTTACCATAATTTCTATCAGGTTCAAATGAAGCCATTTAATTGAGTGCGATGTCTCTGCAACAACAAACATGTATTACTTTATCTTTTCTCAATTATCCTCTATAGTTGCATCACATTCAAGGAAGTTAATTTGAACTAGGGGAATCTTGACAGACTTGGCTACAACATCAAATGCAACTGTGTCTAAGAAAACTCCTCCAATAATGTTAATATCCATGACAATATTCTGGGAAATCATTTTTCATAAAGCTCCCAATAAATACAATGATACTTCTAATAAATTTCAAACCCTATATAGTCCCTAACTGTACTTCTAATCATTGGACAATGTCTTAACCTCAACCTCAAAAAGTCAGTAACAATCTAAAGACATATCAAGCTTCATCTTTGATTCAGGAAGATGACATGATCTTGCGATCTAACACAAGATAAAATATAATACATTAAATTATTTATAAAAAAAAAAGAAATTATAATTTAATTTTATTAACGTATATGATTAAATTAATCACATTTTCATATAAAAACATCAAAATATTCTGATTTTTTATTTATTTTCTATGCTGCCTAAAACTTATTATCACAATAATTAGGCATGACCTACCTCATCTTCTTAATAATTAGGGTGGTGGTCAGCATCCTTGTGGAGACCTAAACTGCTTGGGTGGCAACAACCCATTGATGCCCATATGAGCCTTTGGCACATAATTACCAACACAATACCACACATTGTGTTGGTCACTACAAAAGCTCAGCACAAAAAATTATTCTGTGCGGAGTCCGAACATAGTGGCTTTATGCCCAGACTCCAATAAAATGAAGACGCATGATTTATATACAGGATGTGTATAATTTTTTATATTAACTCATGTATCTTCATTTTTTTAAAGTCTGGATGCAAAGCTAAGTCCGAATTTCTCGAAGAATAATTTCTTCTTTATGAAATCATGAACAACATGTTCCTTAACAATTAATGCGCACTCAAGGATGACGCAAGCACAAGACCTGGATGCACATCTTATCCACCCACAAATCAGTCTAGGTTTACCTAATCACACAAGATCTTATCAGATTATAGCAGGCTTAATTAAGAAAAAACACAAGTAGTTGATCACCAAAACACCACCGAAGACAACAGATAATTAGGTCAACCTCAACACTGTAATCCTCCATGAGCTACCACAAGCAACGCAATCTTATTAAATATGGCAAATTTCTTCCTTTGAAACAATAATCAGAAATCTCCATTACAGGCCATCTAGCAAGACCAAATGCTACGAAAGAACTATTCCACTACAACTTAGAATGATATAAGGCTATGCCTAATAAGTTACAAGAAATTATCATTCAGTTCAGTTGATTGCTGCTACCCTTGGAACTGTGACTGGAAAGCTTTCAATTTCATCCATCCAAGGGCTCTTCTCCTTTGCAGGTTTCACAGTCTTCAATGCCTTCCACACTGCACTGTTGCACTTAAAACCAGAGCCAAATGCAATCTGCCAGATCCTGTCCCTCCTCCTGATCCTTCCCTTGGCTTCACTGTAAGCCAATTCATACCAGAGGGAGCTGCTCGAAGTGTTCCCGAACCGGTACAATGTCATCCTCGATGGCTCCATGTGCCACTCAGAGAGCTGCAAGTTCTTCTCCAGTTCATCCAGTACAGCTCTTCCACCAGCGTGAATGCAGAAATGCTCAAAGGCCAACTTGAAATCTGGAATATATGGCTTAATCTTCATCTTGAGCAGTTTTCTCCCTACTAAAGTAGCAAAGAACAGTAGCTGCTCAGACATGGGGAGAACAAGAGGACCCAATGTAGTTATGTTCGTCTTCAAAGCATCACCAGCAACAGCCATTAGATCCTTTGACAGAGAAACTCCAATCTCGCCATCATCATCTTCTTGCTGGGTAACACAGGTGTAGCATTTATTATCAGCTCCTTTGTGCGTCCTAACTGTATGAAGCAACTGATACTTAGAGCGGCTTCGATCAGATCGCTTGTTTGAGAGAAGGATTGCAGCTCCACCCATTCGAAAAAGGCAATTTGAGACGAGCATCGATCGGTTATTGCCAAAATACCAATTTAAGGTGATGTTCTCCATGCTGACAACCAAAGCGTAGGAATTTGGATGGGTCTGAAGGAGCTGCTTGGCGAGATCAATTGAGATCAGTCCTGCACTACAGCCCATACCGCCGAGGTTATAGCTCTGAATGTTTCCCCTCAGCTTGTAGTGATTCACAATCATTGCAGATAGAGAAGGGGTTGGATTGAATAAGCTGCAATTCACAATCAGAATGCCGACGTCCTTCGGTTTCAGATTTGTCTTTTCAAAGAGCTCGTCGAGAGCGCCAAACATTACAGCCTCAGCCTCCTTCCTGGCCTCGGCCATCGAAGGATTTGGGGGGACATTAGTGACTGCTTTAGGAAGGTAAGTGGATTCACCAAGGCCAGATCTTTCAAGTATTTTTCGCTGAAACTCGAGGTTTTCTTCAGTGAATGAACCTCGCAACCGGGAACGATCCATGAAAGTTTGACGGGAACAATGGCAATCGTCTTCGGGTTTGTAGCAGGCGAAGTTGACAAGGTAAACAGGACTTGGGCGACTGAGGAAGTAGAGGGTGGAGAGGAAGACAAGGAGGGTGGAGCAGAGAACGACTGAGATGATATTGAAGCGGAGGTGATCCCAGATAACGTAGAGATCTTGGGGGGAAATGGTGGAGTAGACTTGGGCAGCGATGATAAAAAGTAAGGGAGTGACAAAGAGGTACATGCCATGGGTGATGAGGTAATGGTAGCCGAGCTTGACATACTTGAGCTTAACGGATTGCTTGAAGTCTGGAAGCCTTCTGGAAGGGGATTTGGGTAAAGCGGCGGCATTTGGCTTTGCTTCTGCCATTATTGGAGCTCAGAGAGGAAAAATCCCTGCAGAGATTAAGACCAATAATGGTGAGGGTAAAAATTGCAACTTTTTACAGATTGCATAAAATACAAGCAGAAAGATGACATCTTGCGATCTAAACACAAGATAAGGTCGAAATGCTGCATCATAAATAAAGAATGGGACGCAGACGAAAAAGAAGAAAAGATTGGAAATCCTTGCGAGGCTACTCACCTGCTATCAGAACAGAAAATCTGAGCGCAGGAATATAATCGCGAGCAAGAGAGAGAGAGATGGGTTCTTCGTGGCTGAAATCAAACTAAGGAAGGGGTATAAAAAGGGAGTGATATTAAAAAACAAAGGAAAAAAAAGGCGGAGATATAAATTTGCAGGTCGTCTTCCCAACTTCCAACTATCGTCTCCTCTTCATCTGAGGCAACTTGAAACGCGTAGCGAGTTAAAAGAAATGGATGGCGAGATAGGCGTCGACGTGTGCTGCATTAAAATCCCAACCTATCGTCGAAGAAGCTTCTATTAGAAGATGACAGGTAGATTTATAGGGCGGATCACCTGTCATCAACGGTGCGGCCGACTTGCGAGTGACTATTTTGATGCGGTCAATCTCCATATCTGTTTTCGAAAGAATTCGTTTTTAAATTGTCGACTGGTTTTTCAAGAAATTTTATAGTTTCTACGCTTCCTCTAAATTTTCAATAGATGGAACATTATATGAACTATTTTTTTTCATATTCATTGATTTTTTTTTTCATTTACATCAATTAAGATAAATATCAAGGCTTTGAAAATCGGACCGGTCAATGAACCGAAAGAAGAAGAGGTTAGCGGTTCGATGGTTCGACCAGGGTCGAACCGGGGTCGAACCGGATGACGTAATAAATATTTATTATATTAATTTAAATATTACAATAATAACATAATTATTTATAAATATATAGTGCGGCCGACTTGCGAGTGACTATTTTGATGCGGTCAATCTCCATATCTGTTTTGAGTTTTCGAAAGAATTTGTTTTAAAATTGTCGACTGGTTTTTCAAGAAATTTTATAGTTTCTAAGGCATCCTCTAAATTTTCAATAGTATATGAACTTTTTTTTTCATATTCAGTGATTTTTTTTCATTTACATCAATTAAGATAATTTTTTTTTTGAAGTACTTTTTTGGAAATATTTTTTTTTAATTAAAAGCTAACATTTTCAACCAACAAACCAAATTGACAGCACATCTTCATTGATTTTATCAAATATAAGAACCAAAACACAGATTTTTGTGTTTCAAGCAAAATCCTCATGAGGTATAAAAAAATAAATAATATTGTTGGTCCTGGAATATTTGTGGCGATAGGAAAATATATAGTTTGACGCCTTAGTTTTGTACAAAGATCCAACACACATATAGATAAAAAGGAGGATGCAATATTTAAAGAGGCACCAAGATTTTTACGTGAAAATCCTGAATAGGAGAAAAACTACGGGGCTAAGTCCTGTTTACGGGGATAAGCCCTTTTTGAATAAATTCATTAGTATTTGTAGTTGATTAAAAATGTGGCCCTTCCTCGGGAGAGATTATTATGTGCGGACACCGAGCGAGAGAACCGTCTAGTTAGAGTACTGCTTGGTATAATCCCGGTATCAAACGTGTCGCGTTTTCATTGGGGGTTGGAATCCGTATAGATAATTTTTCCTTCCTTGGGGGAAGGCCTTGACTTGATGTAACAAATATACTTCATATGGAGTGCATTACATGGTGGGAATAGAAAGAATCACCCAGTTCCCTATTGTTTATTTTGCAAGTTATGTTTCATGTCCTTCTATTGTAATCAAGTCCCTTGTAGTGTTGTTCAGGTTCAAGTCATATATTTACTAGAAATTTCGACAGCCTCATAATGTCTCCCCTATTTAGGAAAAAAATTGTTGAGTTGGGCCTTCTCACTATGCTACAATAGCGTGTATGATAAGTGTCAGGCGACAACGTGGCCGTGGTTCTTTAATCCCACTAGGCAACAAGAGCGTGTATGAGTCTTCGAGGCACATGCTAAAAATGTGCAGTTTTTTTTCCCGCAGGCACTAAGGCACGTACACGGGTTCTTAATGTTGTCCCCACCACATTACGAGAGCGTGTACAAATCATACCCACTTCACTACAAGCACTGCACCGAGCTCTCTCCCACCATGCTACGAAAGCATATATAGGTGGTCCCTCGGGACCTGCGAGTGCCAAAAATAAGATTTGAGGGCTTTCAAGTTTTAGGGACATTTGTACCTAAGTGACGAGGAGATGATGACGATGGTGTCAAGAGATAAAATCGCACAAAATACCCCTTCTTTCTTCTCTTTTTTTTTTAATTTTTAATTTTTTAATAATAACAATAATTATTATTATTATTGATAATAATTATAATGATAAATAACTAATAATATTAACCAAGGCTTTGAAAATCGGACCGGTCAATGAACCGAAAGAAGAAGAGGTTAGCGGTTCGATGGTTCGACCAGGGTCGAACCGGGGTCGAACCGGATGACGTAATAAATATTTATTATATTAATTTAAATATTACAATAATAACATAATTATTTATAAATATATATTAAAAATTGAACAAATAGTTTCACAGGATTCAACCATTTCTTCAAATAGTTTTATGATTTTATCTCATTGCCCAAAAGATAAGTGAATTGAAGAGGTATGCTGTGGTAGAAGCAGGTTCACAAACACAAAACAATCCAGAAGGCAATGGAGCAGTAAAAGGCAACAGCCTAAAATGTATATTTTATTAACTGGTTCTCTCTGCTTCTCATGGAGAAGATAAACAGTAAGCTAAAACTATAAGTGGAAAAAGCCAAAAGTAAAATACTGCTCACATACTAAATAAGGTAATTAGGATAGTGGTGCTAACGGAAAGCTGCAAAAATAACAATAAAGTAAAAAGGTAGTGTGCCCTCATAATTGGCTAGCCATTGATCCACGTGGCAAAGATGCACCGCATCATTCTTCCCCTCCGACAGAAGAATCCGACTCGGATGATGAGATGTTTGTAATGGCGGCATCTGGTGGATGATATGCAATGAGGTCGCCAATATTGAAGGTTGTAGACATGTTGTAGTCGCTTGGCAGATCCACGATGTAGGCATTTTGATTAATGCATTTAAGAATAGCAAATGGTCCGATTTTCTTCTTACTTAACTTGGAATAAGTTCCCTGTGGGAAGCGCTCTCGTCGGAGACGGATCATCACCAAATCACCCGGCTCAAAGCAGCGAGCTTTGCGGTGTTGATCGGCCGCTGCCTTGTACTTCTGATTGGCCTTAATCAGTTGTTGGCGAACTTCTTCAAGCATGGCGCTAAATTGTTTGGCGAATTCAGTGGCCGCTTTGCTGTTACATTTTGGCAGGATCGCGATATCCACGGTGTGGTTTGGCTCTTTTGTGTACACGATTCTGAAAGGGCTTTTACCAGTAGACCAATTGGTCATACTGTTATAGGCAAATTCGGCTTGTCCCAACACTTCGTCCCAAAGTTTGGGATGTTCTTGTACCACACAACGTAGCAAGTTTCCTAATGTCCTGTTAACGACTTCGGTCTGTCCATCCGTTTAAGAATGATATGCCGAACTGAGCTTAATATCTGTGTGAAGTCGCCTCCATAATTCCTTCCAGAAATTACTAATGAATTTAACATCACGATCGGACGTTAAGCTTCAGGGCAGTCCGTGGAGTCGCACGATTTCGGCAAAGAAGACACGGGCTACATTCAAGGCATCGAACGTCTTTTTACAAGCCACGAAATGAGCCATCTTTGAGAAACGATCGACTACCACCATGATTGAATTGTGGCCCCTCCGAGTTCGTGGTAAACCCATTACAAAATCAAGACTTAAGTCTTCTCAAATGGTCTCCGGCGTTGGTAAAGGTAAATACGGTCCTTGTAGAGTTCCACCGGTCTTATAAGTTTGACAGACGGAGCATCGTTCTACAAATCTCATTACATCCCGGTGTAAATGTGGCCAAAAAAATCGGACCTGTAATTGTAGATACGTGTTGTTTCGCCCCACGTGTGCAGCTAGTCCTCCACAGTGAATTTCTTTAATTAATTGCTGCCTCCAGGATGAATCTGGTATGCACAGTTGATTTTACCAAAACAGGAAACCATGTCTTATTGAGAATTCCCGCACTTGGTCTTGATTCTGGCACTCCGCCCAGATTTTGGAGAAGTCCTGGTCCGTTGCATATAACTCCTTTAAACAATCCAAGCCCGTTATCTCAGTTTGCAATTGTGTGAGGAGTACACTCCGTCGACTGAGGGCGTCTGCAACCTTGTTCTGTGCACCCGCCTTGTGGGTCAATACGAAATTGAATTGTTGCAAGAACAAAATCCAGCGAGCGTGCATACGGCTGATGTGTTTTTGGCTGTTGATGAATTGCAACGCTCGGTGATCGCTGCTGAGAATAAACTCCCGATGAAGAAGATACGGCTCCCACTGCTTAAGAGCTCGCACCACCGCATAGAGTTCTTGCTCATAGACATTCCACTTTTGCCTCGCCGGACATAGCTTTTCGCTGAAGAACTCCACGGCTCGGTTCTCTTGGCTTAATACTGCTCCAATGCCCGTGCCTGAAGCATCGGCATCCACATGAAATGGTTTGTCAAATTTTGGTAAGGCCAGTACCGGAGTAGTTGATAAAGCCAATTTGATTGCAGCAAAGCTCATTTGTTGATCTTCTCCCCAAAAGAATTGTTTAAGCTTTAAGCAGTCGGTGATAGGCGCCATGACTGTGCTAAAATTTTTGATAAAGCGGCGGTAGAAGTTGGCAAGCCCGTGGAAACTGCGGACATCCGTGAATGATCGGGGAGTTGGCTAAGACGTGATAGCCTCCACCTTGCGTTTATCAACTTGTACGCCTGCATAGGAAACTACGAATCCCAGAAAATATACAGCAGACGAAGCAAACTCACACTTACTTGGATTCAAGTATAGTTGATGTTGGCGGAGAACAGTCAGAATCTTGGACAAATGTTCCAAGTGAAGTTCAGGCTGGTACTATATATGAGAATATCGTCGAAATAAGCAACGCATCAATCGTTGATAAATGGCTTAAGAACCTCTATCATTAGCCGCATAAAGGTCGAAGGCGTGTTACAAAGCCCAAAGGGCATGACCCGCCACTCGTATAAGCCATGGCGAGTTTTGAATGCCGTCTTCCACTCATCGCTAGGACGAATTCGGATCTGATGGTAGCCACTTCGGAGATCCAACTTTGAGAAAATGGTGGCTCCGGATTACTTTTCTAGCAATTCTTCCACTCGTGGCACTAGAAAACGATACTTGACGGTGATTTTGTTGATTGCGCGGCTATCCATACACAACCGCCAGGATCCATCCTTCTTTGGGAACAACAACGCTGGTACGGCGCATGGGCTTAGGCTGGGCTGGATCAAGTTGTTCTTTAATAGTTCATCCACCAATTGTTGAAGAGCTTGATGCTCCATTGGACTCAAACGGTGATGAGGCAAATTCGGCAATGTCGATCCCGGAATTAAATCAATCTGGTGTTGCAGAGACCGTAAAGGTGGTAGCGCCGTTGGTGCAGGGTCAGCCAATACATCCCGAATTTGGTCCAATAAATGCTCTATTGGCGGTTGTTTCATTCTGCTCTCACTCATGGGCGTAGATTCCCTGAGGACTAAAGCAAACAACAGAGAATGTTCTTGATACAAATTCAATAAGGCATTACATGTAACAAAGTGAAGCACCGCCGGCACCTGGTTTGTTTTATCTCCCTGTGACGAATGAGGTAATAAACGCAGTCGTCGGCCTTTCCACTCCAAAGAGTAAGTGTTGGCGCGTCCATCATACATAGCTCCTACATCAAATTTCCATGGACGGCCCAATATTAAATGGCAGACATCCATATCAACTACGTCGCATAACACCTCACATGAGTAATGCTTCCCAATGGAAAATTGAACTCGGCGCATATCCGTGACCGCGATTTCCATGCCTTTATTGACCCAGCTAATTTTGTAAGGTTGGGGGTTCTTCGCGTTTTCAATTGGAGTGCTTGTACCACAGCACGAGAGACCACATTCTCCGTGCAACCACTGTCCACCAACAAGTCACACACCTTTCCGCCTATGGTGCATTTCGTTTTGAAGATGGAATGCCTCTGCGAATTGAGTTGTTTCTTTGGAGCTAGAAGCAATTTTTCCAGCACGCACATTAGAGGTTCGCCTTCATCCGCAACCAAGTCATCGACGTCTTCTGTATTGTCTTCGTCTTGACGTTCCTGTTCGGACTCCGCTTCCCCGTCGAGTAGTTGTAACTGTTGTCTGTTTGGGCATTCATTCGATTTATACCTTGGTTGAAAGCATCTGAAACATTTGAGTCCTTGTGGCCTTGGATAAGGATTGCTCTAATTGGACCCCGTGGCTTGACCGTCATTTTGGGTTCAACATTTGGTTTCAACGAACTCGCGGACGCGCTTTGATCCCCCATGGGCGGTGTTTTGCGAAAAACTGTTCCTAGCATTTTGGCGATTTCAAACCCAGTCTCTACTGTATTTCTCCGGTTTGAACTACCTCTTCCATGCCGAGCCAGCTGCAGTTCTGCTTTGAGAGCAATATTCACAGCTTGAGAGAGGGACCAAACTGAGTTTAATTCTAATTTGTCTTGAATGCTGTCTTTCAAGCCACCGATGTATCGGGCGACTAGCTGGTTAGTGGTTTCATTTAGATCATTTCTCGCCGATAAACTATAAAACTCTTCTGTGTATTCGCTGACTGATCTATGATTTTGCGAGCAATGCTGGTACTTCAAGTATAACATCTGCTCATAATCTGTAGGCAGGAAATGTGCACGCAGAAGTCGCTTCATCCGCATCCAGCTCCGAACAGAACCCCGTCCTTCTCGCCATCGGGATTGCAACAACTGAGACCACCACGCGCTTGCGCCACCCTTGAGTCTACAGGCGACATACTTGACTTGTTTCTCCGGCTCGATCTCCATATAATCAAAAAAAGTTTCTACAGATCGTTCCCAGTCAAGATAGTCTTCAATATGCAGTTTGCCATCGAAGAAGGGAATGTCTAATTTGACACGAAATTCTCCCTAGTGTCGGTCTCGACCTTGGTAACGCCTTGGCCGCCTCTCGTCGAGTTCTACTTCTGAATCGGACAATCCGGTCGCCAAGTTGGTATCGAATTCCTCCTCCGAATCCGACAACTCCGGCATCAATGTTGCTCTCCGTTGAACTCGATGCGGAAATCCCCTAAGTCCATCAACAAGGGTAATCAAGGTCAGAGCAGGTCTGCCCAACCTCTGTGGAACTTCCCCCTGTCTGACGATTGGTGGCCCTAGTCGTAAGACAGTCGTAAGGCGGTCTACAGCCGCAACTATCTCATCCAGGCGTTTCTCAACGCCAGCGTGTGCAGCCCAAAGTGCCTCCAAACTCCGGTCATCTCTGCTCGCCGCACGCTTGCTGGACTCTGCCATCTTACCTAGCCGCTAGCTCTGATACCAACTGAAGAGGTATGCTGTGGTCGAAGCAGGTTCACAAACACAAAACAATCCAGAAGGCAATGGAGCAGTAAAAGGCAACAGCCTAAAATGTATATTTCATTAACTGGTTCTCTCTGCTTCTCATGGAGAAGATAAACACTAAGCTAAAACTATAAGTGGAAAAAGCCAAAAGTAAAATACTGCTCACATACTAAATAAGGTAATTAGGATAGTGGTGCTAACGGAAAGCTGCAAAAATAACAATAAAGTAAAAAGGTAGTGTGCCCTCATAATTGGCTAGCCATTGATCCACGTGGCAAAGATGCACCGCATCATGAATATGTTGAAACTAATAAAACGATTAAAAAAAAATCTAACTAATAAAAGGAAAGAAGGATAAAAAAAGATTAAAAAAATTCCTATATTACTCAATGCAAACTCAAGGGCCACAATAACCCAGACGGTTGGAAACTTTATCATGAAATGAAGCCCAAAAATCTTATAAGAACGAAGCATGGACCAACTATCACTGCTAGAGAACTGTTAAAGCTTAATACTATAGAGAAGTCTGACCCAAAAATCACCTGGAGATTCCATATAGAAAACTACATTTGCAACCATTCAAACTGTTTTGGCCCCAACATTTGAACATAATAAGAGTAGGGGAGGCTGGAATTTTTGTTTCTGCTTGTGTATGAAGCAGATGCCACCGCAGAAATGAGAAAACGTTTTTTTTTTTGTGTAAATCTAAACAATACAAATAGAAAAAAGAATACAAATACAGAAACCAATATTTCTTGGATAAATCTAAACAATACACAGAAAAAGAATACAAATGCCACCGCAATCTCACAAAAATCGTTAATGTATACTCACCGCAAGCGATTTTGCTTCTCGAACTAGATGAGACGCCGGAGGCGGAGAAGAAGACGACGGAGTCAGAGAAGATGAAGGAGGTGGAGAATGCCAGCCACGCGAGAAGAATAGGGTTTTTTTTTTCTCGTGCCACATGAGCGAATACAAAGAGTCTGCTGTCCGCTCATAACGCATCCCAACCGTCCATTTTTTTTAGCGAACAGACCGGTTACAGGAAACAGGAATCGGTTTGCCGGTTTGGCGGTCAAATCGCCGGTTCGAGCGGTTTGAAGCCGATTTTCAGCAAAACAGGTTTTAGTTTGAA